GATTTGTAAATGTTCCCTAATAGACATTATTGCTAGAGGCGTACACAAATTAACGAGTTCAATCATTGTACATCCGTTAATCGGATCCATTTAGTATTCCATTGCTACTGCTAGTCCCCGAGGTGATGGAAACACGTAATTTTTCAGGGAGTAGAACTTTTTATGTTATATACGCTGCAAATAAAGATGTGCTACATTTACTGGTCGATTAGACTGTTAATGGGCTTGACATATTTCTAAAGGGGTTGGAGACCCATTTTTAGTTTTTTCGATCTCAACTTCGGACCCGAATTTCTTTCTAATTGAAATAATTATTTAATTCCCGGCTAGCATACGATGAAATGATGTCATATAACGAAACACTCTTGGTGGAGAAACGGCTTCTTTCCCTTTTTAGCGCATTTCCACAAAAATAAAAAAAATGCGCTATTGTGGCCACTTTGTCCGTCCGTCCGTCTGCTCGTTTTGCGACGCTACTAGTTCTTTATCTTAAGAGCTATCGTTCTACTTTTTTCGCTATTTGGTTCGTTATGGTGTCGAGGCTTGCACCAAGGAAGGAATTTTTTCTGCGTTTATTGCTAAAAAAGTTATTGTAAAAAAAACCAACAAACCGTTTTTTACATGTTCCATAATTTTACACTTTTGCCGTTTATTAACCATCCTAGAGATCATTTATAATTTTGTATTGTTGTCTGTCGTCTGTCTGTTGGTCTGTCCGTCTGTTCCTTTGCCTGTCTGTCCCTCTATCTGTCCGTGTGAACGATAATTTTGTTTGGAAATGTCCGATCGCTTTTACATCTCCGTTAGTTATGAACTGAATTGCATGAAATTCAATATGGGCATAGCCTTAGCCATATAATACGCAATGCCAAAAGTTGAGTCGAATCGATTCAAAATTCACAGTGCCCTTTTCGCATCTCAGCCATTTATAAACCGAATTGCAAACTTTTTTCTTATAAAAGTATTTGAATGAAATTTGATACATAGGCACTTGGAATAAAGGAAAATCTAACGCCAGTTTCATAATTTGGTTTTGCGAATGCGCAGTGCCAACTTTTTTATTTATGGAAGCATTTAAATGAAATTTGATACATAGGTGCTTGGAATAAAGGAAAATCTAGCGCCAGTTAAAAAATTTTATTTTGCCCATGCGCAGTGCCAACTTTTTTTATCTATGGAAGCATTTAAGTGAAATTTGATACTTTGGCGCTTGGAACAAAGGAAAATCTAACATTAGTTTCAAAATTTAGGTTTGCGCATGCGCAGTTCCAACTTTCTTATTTAGAAAAGCATTGAAATGAAATTCTTCTTATAAACTGAAATTGAAATAGCATGTCAAAAATGGATTGCTCATGTGCAACGCTATCTTTCATATTTGTGGCCGGATTTTTACGATTTTAACAGAAGTTGCATCTTACAAATGGGAAATGAATGCAAGTGGAAATGCGCTTTATGTAAATCGTTTACGATTACTTTTTAACTTTTATTGTTGTCCTCTCCCGTGGCGTTACTTTCTGTCCCCTCTTATGTCTGATTCCAGGGTTGGCAAAAACCCGGGTTTTTGTATAAAACCCATGGGCATTTGAGGTTTTGGGTTTTTGTATGATTATCGTCCGCATTATTGCGACGCCATCTGTTACAGGATAGAACAAACACCTCAAAGCTAAACTGTAAAAGTTTAGGGTTATGTTGGTTCAAAAAATCAAATAAACGTTCACGTCCGCGTCCTCTTCTTTATAAAAAGTTAAAAAGCGAACATGTAATAATTTATCATTGTAAGGTTGAAGTATTATTTTTTTTCTAGTTGAAGACTTTTCCGTTATATTTATGTAATGTATGTCTATTAATGGCTTAATGTCAAATAAAGGTTGTATGAAGTGCTTGTTAATGAAAATACAGAAAAAAAACCAGATCCATTGCAAAAATCCAAAAATTATAAAACCCGGGTTTTTGTTACGAAATGTTTTTGTAAAAAAACCCACCCGGTTTTTGTTGGGTTTTTGTTTGGCAACCCTGCTGATTTTTCCTCCACCTCTAGTATTCTTCTGCTTTCATTCTTCATTTGATGCTTGTCTCTGCTCCACTCTTCCCATGGGAATCCCCGAGGCCGTGCCCGTTTGGTCTATGGTGGTGTTCCATGTGAAACAGGGTTGGCCCAGCTTCCATTTCCTCCTTTTGTTTTTTTTATGTGCTCATTCCTCTCCATTGGTCTGAGCTTGGCGATGTTCTCCACGAATTCTTTGATTTCGTGTTGCTCAAAGGCTCTGTTTTTCTCCTTCTTAGCTTCCCTTAGCTCTTTCTTTGTTTCAGGTTTGTGTGGGTTTTGCCCAAACCTCTTGTTTGCTCTTCTGTCATTATCCATGGCTCGTATCCTGTTCGGTGACATGGGCGGTTTCTGTTTCCCGAATGTTTTCCCCTCGGTTTTCCCTGCTGCTTCTTTGAGCGTTTCGGCGATCCTGTTCCAAGATGGTCTTCCTTCCCCCTTTTTGCTTCTGATCTCGTCCTGCTCCTTTCGGTATTCCTCCCTTGACAGGAGTTTCACTTCCCACCATTCGGTTCTCCCGGTTTGCTCCTTGTCTTTTTCTTCCTCCTCTCTTCCTCCCCTCCTTTTTTACTTTTCCCCTTACTATTTTGTGGTCCAATCCTACTGTTTTTGCCCATATGCCTACTGTGTTCATGATGCCTATTTCTTTTGATTTCGTCCTTATTATGTGGTCAATCTGCGATTCAGAGTTTCCCCTCCCCCATGTTGTCAGCACCGTTTTGGACTTGCTGAATGTGTTTTCCACCCTCAGTCCATGTAGGTTTACCATGTTCCTAAGCTCGCTGCCGTTCCCGTTGTCATGCTCGTGCTTGATAACTCCCTGCCATCGTAGACCCAAGAGCCCTACTAAGTTGGAAGAGCCTTGAAGGTCGAGATCAAGGTCATTCTCAAGGTGACCACCGAATAGTCCCCTTAGAATTGCACAACTTTTATATGAAAACCAAAAAATGGAAAAATTTATGATCCAATATTTAGAAAATTATGAAATCTAGTATGCATCTAGTTTTCTAAATATTGAGTTACAAATTTCTCCATTTTTTTCTATATGAACCATATGCATGATTTATGTTGTCGTACATACAGTTCATTTGAAAAACCAACGTGGCATCGATTTCCGGTTAAACCTGAAGTGATACCAAAAATTTCAATATGCGACCAGACAGATTGTAATGTCACATATATTTGACACATTTTTCGTATCTCGCCAAAAAAACGTCATATTTGAGGTGACCCTCTTATCTCGAAACGCATTGTAATATAATACATAAATTATACAATGCATGATTACAGTGTGTCCCCAGATATAACGCAGGCCTTTGAAATTAGCGTTCAACCGTACTACTTACTCCTCTTTGCTAGATCAGGCAAGCGCCATAACGGAAGTTGAACGCTAACTTCAATACATATCAAAGGCCTCATGAATACTTCGAGAAAAAGATCCATTAATTCTGTTTGCCCTATGGTACGTCCCATCTGGGACACGCGGTATAGTACCTAACCTTTTTGGCGTGAAAATAAAGCAACATTTTTTTTATGGCGTTAATCAAAAAAATGTCGATACTTTCATGCAATGCAATGTGACATTCGTTTATAAATTTCCCGGTTTTTAAAATTTTGTGGTTGTGAAACGGGTCTGTGATTAGATTGGCCAAATTTTTTTGGGAGTGGCTTAACTGCATCTGTTGGGTGAACAGATTATAGGGAATGAAAGGCTTAAAGTATATTATTTCTAGAAATTTTCAATGAACTTTCACCCAAAAACCAATGCTAATTGAGCTTTTAAACTTACTTTTCTCGTTTAATCAAATCTCGATCTCCCTTAGTTGTCGAAGATCTCATCCAAGAAATTTCATCCTGCACATTTAACAATGGGCTATTTACAAAATTTACAAAATTTTTTGTATTGTGTAAAACATGCATGTCCGTTATCCTAAATCTAAACAAACTTTGAATTAAATTCGATATACCAAATGCCTAAAGCGCTAATTCCAAACGGTTTTGTGAATTACGTAATTTCTTTTTTTTTTTTCAAAAAAAAACGGCCCTACCCGATCGTGCTACAACTGTTGCCATGCAAAATTGAAATCGATGTTCTCAGTTTTGGATATGTGGACATTTAATTCGTTTAAAAGAATCATCAAACAGGAAAGCACCACACGATCTTCTAACTGAACTGTATGTGATCACTATATACGCAACAGAAACACCAGAACGAAGCATATAGGTGCATTCTAACTGACAAAGGCGACCAGGCCTGTAGCCAAAATGAAGTAGCAAGGGTGGCCAGTATTTTTCTAGGTGGGGCTTAAGAAGTTTTTGATAATGCCTTGGCCTGTAATTTTTGTAAAGTAACCATCAACCGTAATGAGTACATCCCCGACGTGCTACAAGCCATGAGGCAGCGCAACAGCGTCAAGATATTCCGGATCCAAGAACACCAAGACAAGAAGCAAAATGAAATTGCAGACAAACTTGCAAAAGATTAGATCCTCAGTTACCTAGCACATCTATATAACAAAAATCTGGCCCATACAACCATCCACAACTGGGGGAGAACATCTGAATAAATGGCAAACATACAACAGTCCAAAACAAACCACCTCAGCAGAAACAATCGAGAACCTCAAACCTCGCCTCAAACCCATAACAATACTGAGCTAGTTATAGACAAATGTTGGAAAACGAGTCTGAACCGAGGTTTGGACACGCCAACAGCACAATAAGCCAGAGGTTGATATGCACTATGTCAAATCTAAAGACATGCCTAGAGTAATCTTTTTTACACAAATCCTGAAAATAATTGGTCAAATAGCAAATTTATTTTGCGAAAATGTTTTAATGGTGAAACCAAGTTATAACGTAAAAATACAAGTTGATTCCATTTTAAATATTCAGTCGTACACAAAATTATTCCCATTATTTACTCCTACAATATCCAGCTCGTCGCTGGACACCCTGTATTTAATACATACACGTTTTTTGGTTAGTTTCCTGCCAATTTTGGAAAATTGTGCACCAGAAAGTTATTGGGCAAACATTTTGATTACTTACTCTTCTTTCATTTTCACGTTGCTTATCATTCTTGTAGGTACTGGATGGCGTTCACGGTAAATATAACCCACAATTTAAAAACCAACCACCACAACTTCGATAACCAAACAGTGCAACATAACCTCAAATTTTGTTTTTACACAGGGTGTTAAAAAAATTTTGTTGTCGAAGTACAGATGGCAAACACCAAAGCTATTGGCGAGATGCACGAGCAGCGCGGTAAAAGTAAGTGAAACCCCGAAGTATACTCCAATATACAAATTTTCATACATACGAGGAGTCAGTATGATTAATCGCTTAAAATTTTACCAAACTGGATTAAGCATTTTTGCTCCACCTCTAACATTAATATTACACAAATTAAACTGGGTGAATTCCGATGTAGCATTCGCAACACTTGGTATAGGTGAGCTGTAATACTATCATGTTGTAATTCCACTAAATCAATTCCACAGCGCTTTCAGGGTGTACATTTCTGTATAGCCTTGGATACATCACAAACAACCTGGTTGGAATAATGTACGTTAACAACGCGAAAAGCGACCTTAAGATTGCTTATGTGGACTTTTGGGGCCACAGGAAAGACATCGTAGTTCCAATAAAAGACAATGTGCCATCGTCCGAAATTTCAGCTTCCCACACAGACAGCGTCTACTGGAAATTTAAAAACTTGTCCACGCCTCTCGCTTTCAAAATTAGTACGAAATTTGGTAATGTGCTCGATAAAGAAATGTTTTGCAAGATATTTTCTAAAGATGTATATTAGCAAATAAATTAACTCCATCTATAGTGAGCATAGGCTCTATTCATCTCGCATTGCTTGTGAAGATCTTGCTTCTTTTTCACCGCCCTTCCTGTGTTATTAGCAGCATCTATGAGCTCGTATGCAAATTGATCATAAAAGCGTACAGTACGCTCTTTCTCGTTTCCTGCCTCTATAAGCCATTTCATTGACAAAAATTGTGATCTGCGATCTGTAATTGGTACCGGAACCTAGAAATTCAATATTGTGAAAGCTGTCGAATAGAAAATCCACACCTGGTAAGTTACACCGCCTCTTTTAATAGGGGTCAGTTGTAAAATTGGTTTAACGTTTGTAATCGCTTGATGAATAATAGCTCGAGGATTAAGCACCACCTTTTCTTTTTCCTCTTCATTTGCCAACTTATGATATTTTTCCAGTTGAACTCGTTTAATCTTTTCCATTGTTTTTTCTACAAGGTCTCTCGCCAACAATTTATTACCATCTTTCATTAGGTAATTAACAAGCAAACTGAAAGGTGCACGTTACACATACGCCGCTAATTACAAAATGTTCTTACCAAATAAGATCATCGTGATAAATTGAACTGGTTTGATCGTTAAGTGCGGCTCTAGTCGGTACGTGGGCTAATTTTTGGGCTTCTCCCGATTTAATCAAGTCAGTTTGTTTGTCATTGCTGTAGATCGGTTTAATATAGTAGGAAGGATACTGTGACATTCCATTTTGTGGGAATTTGAAGCTGAAAACATCCGGTTTTCACATAACCCATTACATTATAAGGCAAACCACAAACCACCGAGTTAATTCCAATTTTGACGATAAAAGTAATGGTCTTGTAAACATCTCGTGGGTACTTCGAGCAGGGCACTTCTCACTTTTTACCAATTGCAGTGCCCCAGAATGTATTTTTAAGAATAATTTTGCAATGTTCTTTTTGTACTTGTAGCACTCACAAAAAATTGAGGTGGCTAAATGACCTACTGTTTAGAATACAAGGTGAAGTACAAGATTGAAACCGTATACAATGGCAAAGGGAGGTTTTACCAAATTGATTCAATTGGGACTGTAAAAAATCAGTTTATTATGGTATATGATTTCGATGTGATAATCCCCAATTTTGTTTGGGTAACTATTCTGTGGTTTTAATTTGTTCACAGAGTGCGCATACTCAAAAATAGATTAAGGAAGTGCATAAATAAATTGCCACAATTTTTACTTGTTTGTAAACTTTGAAAATAAAAAATAATCTAATAATAATGTGCGATAATTTGGTTTAATACATTCCTCCTTAAAACTCTTGCCAAGCTTATAGTTTCCCCTTGAGTAGGCAACAAAAAATGGCAGATCAATCAGGAAATTCAACTAACCCATGTAAGTGTTTATGTGTAAGTGGTTTGCACTAATTGTTGTTTAACAGCCCGTCGCCCATTATTAAAAATGGACCTGCCACCGTCACAACAAAATATGACATTCTCCTTTCGACCACTGCCTAACCAATTAAACATAACGGAAGGTAGTATCATTTGTACCTCTACGAACCGTCCTAAGATGACTTTGCCAAAAGTTCCTAGAGCAGCCGTTGATATTGTTCATGAGAAGACACGGTAAGTTAAATAAGGCTTTAATTTGTGTGCAGTGTAAAGAGTCCCGAAGGACTTGTGCAATTAGGTTGCCTCGACTAATATATGGTGCTTTAAAACAATTGAACCGGGTTGGTAGTAATTGTCCTGGCAACAATTGTAACTATAGAACAACATACCAACCCGGTTAGTCCCATTAATTATTGTCAAACCCCAATGAATTAAGTTGAGAATTTGAGCTTGAACCTTTACGTAATCAGAGTAATACCGCAGCTTACTGGAACAACCACCTCAGACACTCTGCAGCAGCACCCTAGATCTGGCATAACAAACAAACAGAATTTTAAATGCATAGTAATCGAAGATACCTACGAAAGAAGTAGGATTTATATTTCTTTTTTTTGTTATTTATTTAGTGTAGTTGCTGGTTGCTATTGCACTTCTAGTATAAAAACAGTCAAGTCAATCATCGGAGGTAGCGGCCCACTGCAAAACTGGTCGCCTGTGAGTTGTATACAAATTATGCTTTTATATTTAATATACAGGGTGCGTGAAAAAGTAGATTTTGATACCAAAGTTGATTTATTTAAATAGAACAGTATTTTTTTTAATTCATTTTCGAATTCTGTATCAAATTATCAAAATATTTCAAAATTTACTTTTTGGCCCTGTATATTTTCTCTTCAGTATAAAAATTGCGCAAGAAAAAATTATGATGAATGTGTGCGAGCATTCGTTTCAAACCCAAGAGGTAATGACTACGACAAGCTCATGTAATTGTTCTTTGTATTCAATGTCTATAGCCGCGTTATTCACTTTAGACAAAGTGCTATAATTTGCGAGACTTACGTCTTTTGTGACCCAGTTACATTTATCCTATAGATAAATTCTCTGGAAATTTCGTGGAAGTCATCTGTCAATAAATGTACCGAGCTGACAAAAGGTAGTAGTGTAACTAGCTCAAACTTATTTTTTTCATGAAACCTTTGGATAGCTGACATTATTATTGATAGGTAATATGAAAGACCAAAAGGGGGGGGGGGGAATACTGCACCAATCGCTCCTGTGAACGCATTAACTATAACTTCTATTACCACTACATGTACAGGGTGTCTGATTTTTAACACACTCCATAATCACGAACTTATAAATTAAGATGGACTGCTAATGCTGAATTAACAAATGACACCTACATGGGGGCCGCCATGATGTGCACTTACTTGGCGCGAAATTCAAATCAACTAATAAACAAGCATTAACCCAACATTAACCTCACGTTTTCTAAATAAATTACTGTGACACATGTCATTTTCCAAGGCTGCAATAGTCTCAAAACTTGAGCACTAGGACAATTCCCCTAGAAAATAACTAGAATGTGCACATCATGGCGGCGCCCATGCTAGGGCCATTTCTACCTCTATGCAACTGTTTGATCAGCAGTCTATCTTAATTTATAAGTTCGTGTCCATAATTCACATATTCGCTAGAAGAGATCCCAGGGAAAATTAAAAAATTTTCAATTTCAAAAAGGCCCTTTCTTAGTTGATAAGAGTACAGGAAAATGTTTATTACAAAAGTCTTTTTGTGATTGTTGAATAAACTGACATTTTCAAAATAAGTAGGTACTGTGCGATCAAAAATGAGTTGCTGTCGAGTCACCTTTGGAACTTTTGTTTACATGGGAAATCGTATTTAACTTGAACTTCCAAAGGCGACTCGACAGCAACTCATTTTTGATCGCCCGTTATATGAGGCCAGTTAAAAAAGTTATCTAATTTGGCCTCATTTTTTTAAATAGACCACCCTAAAACACTAAAAAAAACACTACGAAAATTCAATATTGATTTAAAAAGATTTAAAAAAAATACAGAAGTTAAAAATGATTTGAATCTTTTTTAATGAAATTTTTATTAGACAAATTTCTCTTATATCGATAATTAATATTGTTGGTTCTTTCACAGTTTTGGTGCACCAGAAAAGGTGAAAATAAGGTAACTTTTCGTTTTAACTTTTTAACTCTTTCAGTACAACTTACATATTATGGCAGGAATGTTGTATACTTGTATCATAGTCAAGTCACACTGAAAGGGTTAATTATTCATATGTAAAGAGTTATGTGTAACGTGTATGTATTGTTCCATGTTGTTTCTTGAATGTAATTTTAAAAAAAAGACAATCAAGTAAATTAGTATTACTGAATTGGTACCGTAAACAATTGAAAATAGTTGTCTCAAACAACTATAGGATGTACCAAGTCAAGTTACTTAATTGTTTTAACTGAATTAGTAGGTATAAAAAATCTCTATCAAACTCTATTATATCATTATGCATTTTGTGGACGTCCAACATTGCTTTACTTTTTTATTTAGTTTTAGCCAAACGGTAAGATGAAATGATTCTGATCTTCATTACTAAATACTTTGAATGTAAAAGTGTTGATTTCTAGGTTGATTTTAATATGTTACATTTTTATATACTCATACCAGAGGAAAAAAAAACAACCCGGAGAGGACTCCTCCTTGGGCTAAAAAAAATTTATGGTTGGAAACTGCAGCTGTTGCATGCTGAACATTATTTCATTTTCCGTGCCAGCGTATACAGTGATATTTATTAAGAAGTAGACATAGGGATTTACATGTATTGTTTTTCTCTGTCTACTCTTCTGAAGGGCGCCTAATTCTATATACCCTAAATGACTTCTGAAAACAAATAAAGATCTGACTGTCACATTAATTAATTTGAATATTGTTACTTTGGCTTCAGAAAATAAATTGTTTATGCTCCGCTATTACCGGCACTATACCAATTGACAATATCAACTTTATATAGAAATACGGAAGCCAAAGCAACAATATTCAAATCAATTATGTGACAGCCCAATCTTTATTTGTTTTAAGAAGTTATTTTGGTTGCATAAAATAGGGGCTCTTCAAAGAATTTTGTTATTTAAAAGTAGACATAGGGAAAAACAATACACGCAAATCCCTATGTATACTTCTTAATAAATATCACTGTATGTAATTATATAGAAAATGTTATTCACAAATTTCTTTAAAAATTGCTTCGATAGAACCAGACTAAGTACTTTAATTGGCGTATGTCTCAAATGTGATTATTTACCTTCATTTTACCATGGTTAAAACTAAATTAAAAAATTGACAAGAGTATGTAGTCTAAAGATTCAAATTGTGAAGTTGCGCATAAATTAGGTACTCCACTATCAGATCATTAAAATTTGTAGAGAATGCCGATTTAGAATTTCGCAATCCATACAATCAACTGGAAAGTTGCAATTAGCAGGAAAAAGTTACGACTTTACCTCGGACGATCTTCAAGATCTTGGAGAAATCGGTCGGGGCGGATTTGGTACCGTCAATAAAATGCTGCATCGGAAGTCGGCGACGACTATGGCCGTTAAACGCATTAGGTCAACTGTTGATGAGAAAGAACAAAAACAGTTACTTATGGACTTGGAGGTGGTGATGAAAAGCAACGAGTGCCCTTATATTGTACAATTTTACGGTGCACTTTTTAAAGAGGTAAGTATGAGATTATGCATTGCCTTTTTGTTGTATGTGTTCTCTTTCTCTAATAGGGTCGGTTATAGTTCATTTTACCGCTTGTGATTTTCCCAGCCCCTCCAACAAATTACATGCGTAATTACACAGTGCTATTTATTAAAAAGTAGACATAGGGATTTTGGTATTTTTCCCGATGTCTACTTTTAAATGACAAAATCCTTCTAAAGGGCGCCTAATTTTATGCAACCAAAATAACTTTTTAAAACAAATAAAGATCTGTTGATGTTGATGATCAAGATTATTGTTGGGAGCGTATAGTAGATTAAAAAAAATCGATGTCGTTGCATTTCCGCGGTGGGCATCACATGAGGGGGAGGGAGCAAAGTAGCGCGCGTGGCGATTCACTTTATCGTTTCTAACCCAAAGACGGTAATAGTTAGAGCAATGCTTGAAGCGGCTATTTACAGCTACTTATATTGCCTACAAAAAATGTCCTAAGGATAGAAGTCGTACTTCTAACTGTTTTGTTACAAATATATTATTTCGGAATATATCCAAATCCACTGAAAATCATATTTGCCACGTACTTCTTGTATCTATAAGACAATTTTAATAGTGTCGTGCCAAAAAAAAGGCAGTGTATAACCTTCCTTTTTTACCAAAAATCGACTGCACCAAAATTTCTCAGGAAAAAACTTATTCTAATTAATTTTGGTGCGTAGAATCCGAAACGATTAGTACTTTTTCGATTAGACGTCTCAATCAAAAGTTATGGGCAAAAAATTTCGACAAAAAATTCAAAGGGCTGTAACTTTTGATCTAGTAGCCCGATCTTGGAACTGTTTGAAATTATGGATTTTACAGGTCACATTCTATAAGAACATATTTTTTTCCGGTCGACCTGAGACAATTTTTTTTTGCCAAAAAAAAAGGCAGTGTATACCCTTCCTTTTTTACCAAAAATCGACTGCACCAAAATTTCTCAGGAAAAAACTTTTTCTAATTAATTTTGGTGCGTAGAATCCAAAACGATTCCTACTTTTTCGATTAGACACCTCAATCAAAAGTTATGGGCAAAAAAGGAATTTCGACAAAAAATTCAAAGGGCTGTAACTTTTGATCTAGTAGCCCGATCTTGGAACTGTTTGAAATTATGGATTCTACGGGCCACATTCTTTAAGAAAATATTTTTTTCCGGTCGATCTGAGACAATTTTTTTTTCGTGCCAAAAAAAAAGTCGGTCAACTGAAGGTTGAACTATTGTAGTACAACCGGCCCATAAAGTTAGATTAAACTTGGGTTACAGGAAGACAATAACTTCCACAATCCACTTATATTGGTGTAATCTAAGGTATCTTTTGCAGGGTGACTGTTGGATATGTATGGAATTGATGGATACGTCCTTAGATAAATTTTACAAATTTATTTATGAAAAAATGAAAATACGAATTCCCGAAACAATTTTAGGAAAAATTACTGTGGCAACAGTAAAAGCGTTAAATTACCTGAAAGAGCAATTAAAAATTATACATCGCGACGTCAAACCGAGTAATATCTTATTAGATCGAAAAGGCAACATTAAACTTTGCGACTTCGGTATATCGGGTCAATTGGTTGACTCGATAGCGAGAACCCGTGATGCAGGTTGTCGCCCATACATGGCGGTAAGTTGTGATTCGCTTCACCTGTTGCTATAAATATTTATTTAGCCAGAACGAATAGATCCCCAAAGGGGCAAGGGTTACGATGTACGAAGTGACGTATGGTCTTTGGGAATTACACTGATGGAGGTGGCGACCGGACATTTTCCCTATCCGAGATGGTCGAGCGTTTTTGAACAGCTGCATCAAGTAGTAAACGGCGATCCGCCGCGCTTATCGACCAATCATAATGCAAATATATTTACTGCGGAATTTGTAAACTTTGTAAATACATGGTAATTATTGCGTAATTTATGTTTTTGTGTGTTAATTCTGTTTTACAGTTTGATCAAAGATGAACTATCTAGACCCAAATACAATAAGCTGCTACAAGATCCATTTATAATTAACGCAGAAAAGGAAGAAGTTGATGTGGCATCATATGTTTCTGATATTATGGATGAAATGGCAAATAATGGTGTCAGCGCTTTCACAACTAATCAGCAGTAGTTTATTAGATTTCTATTGCTCCAGTGTTTTTAAAGGGGTGTGTGAGGCAAAAAATAATTATAAATACTATATCAACACCAGTTTTATAAAATACATTTTTATTGTAATGGTCCTAGTTTGTTAAGGGACAAGTGCCATCAAATGTTTTACTTTCTTATTGCAACATGGTTCTATTTCATTAACACTAGCCCAATAATTCTTTATTCTTGAAAAGTACCATTGTCGATTCCAACTGCTCAAAAAAAAAATCAAAAGGCACTGACCTGAAAGTGTGAAAAAAAAATGTATACAAAATCAAAAGAATAAGTACTTGAATTGTTTTAAAGTGAGCATTCAAAGATCCGGCAGTAAAAGGGTCCTTTAACTCGTTTCATTTGTTTATTGTAATTCAAAGCGTGTCAGAACCATATGCATTTCTATGCCTTTGGCTTCTCACACATCGTTAACAGTGAAAGTTATTTTAAAGGTGCTCAAAGTTTAAAATGATTTGGTTGAAGAATTTAATTACTGCATGCGATACGTCGATTACAATTTCGATAACATGGCATATTTTGTGAATAAACCTAGGAAACTAAATTTTTAAAAATTCAACCTATTTTTCCACCATCGCGAGATAATTATGAAATGAAAAATTTTGATCTCAATTATGGTCATAACTAACACTTTATAAGAAGTAAATGTACATACCACTTAGCTGTAAAATAATTGTAATTATAATGAATGTAAAGCGGCTAGCTAAATTGTTTATGGAAATGTCTATTGTGTAGGTACTAGTTTTGTAAAACTATTGTTATAATGTGTATAATTAAAAAAAAAACAGTAGGTATAAAGTATTTATCTGATAGTTAATTATTGTGATTTTCCTTTTGTAGCAATAGTGTCCCACACAGGAATGTAATGTACCATTGCATATGTAGATTAACCGTAGTTTATTTTTGGATTATGATGCGTGGACTGCACATATGTATAATTCAAAAGTTATATCAATATAATCTAATCTTTCGATAATAGTTCTAGTGTTCTCTCCCTTTAGGCATCAAAGTTCAGAAGTAAACTTCTGTTAATCGGTTTGTAACATACGACATTACAATGTTAAGAAATATAATAACAATAAAACAGTTGCCTGTTACTTTAGCATACCGTATAGAGTACGTTTTGTATATAAATGTTGTTAAATAAATATTGTTTTTAAATATATCGGAAGTCCATTGTCATTAGGTATTTTTACTGAAAGAAACCACACACACACAAACCCAATTAGGGGGTAAAAACAACATCCTGGTAGTTTTGCATCATTCTCGCCGTTATGCATTTAGGCCACTGGAAATGTTTTACTGGCAAGTACAGAATTCAAATTGCACAAGGACAAAACTTGGCTATTTGTCACGCGTAAAGGATGCATTTGGCTTTCCAAATGCGAACATGAAGTTTCTAGGTGGAGCGGCAGTAGTGACAAATCTGTGGCCTATTTTGACGTCAAGGTTTCCTTTATCATTTGTTAGGGGAAGGTTGAAGATTAGTACCTACAAGTAATTTAGGGCATATTACAGTTTTTGATACGTAGACAGTGGAACTTTCCATAGCTGTGGGTGTCTTTCATTTGAGATTAATATACAGGGTGTTTTGATAATTTAGGGTATCTTGAACATTGACAAGCAATGTTTAAAAAAACGTTCTGTAACGTTAAACGAATGTTCCATTTTGAAACCAAACATGGGACACTAGATTATGGGGTTCGTACCTGCGTCGCTCACCCCACAAACTTCCAGTTCGCCCGTAAAGATTAATTTACAAAGCTTGACACGTAAATAACTATGGAGCACGTTGTACCTTGGACCAGTCTACCTATCTAGTATGTGCTGCAACCTGGCGGACTCCGGGTGAACATAGATCACCACTGTAGTCAAGCCAGTGCACCTGTTGAGTTGTGCAGCTGTCAGTTTGTGTTTTTGGTTTTGCATAGCAAAAGTGGTTTTTTGGTAGTGAAAGTAAAGTTTTCGTCTTTTGTTTGAGTGTCCGTACTTCCGGCGAGTTTGTGCTAGCAGTTCTAATAACTGGCTACGTTGGTAACACATTGTTTGCTGAGTAAAATGCCCACTTTGTTTTGAAAATTGTTTAGGTATTTACTCGTAGGCGGCCATTTTTGTTTAAAACGAGACCATCGTGTACCTTGGATACAAACGTGATCCTGTACCTTGGACCACTGGTCCATGGTACAAGACGTTGTAACACATGTGTTTTACTTGTGTTACAGATGTATGGAGGGAAATGCCGCGAAGCAAAGAAGGAAAGAAAAGAGCTCCAATAGATGAAGTTTCGTTGAAAAAGGCCATTGAGACTGTAACCTCAAATGATCCAGTTAAGAAAATGTCCTATAGAGGCAACAAAAGTGTTTGGTATAAGTAAAACTACCCTACTAAGACATGTAAATAAATTTAAAAATGCCGATAATGCCAATGAATACCACTATTCACCTAACCTTGCAGTAAAGCATGGTATTTACAGAAGAAGAAGAAAAAGGCCTAGTAACCTACATTAAAAATGTCGCCCACATGCAGTACGGATTGACCAAAAAAGGTGTGAGGCTCCTAGCTTTCAAGTATGCCAGGGCCAATGAGAAAAAAATGCATACCACTTGGAATGAGGAAGAAATTGCTGGGGAAGAATGGATGCGAGGGTTTTTAAAGAGGCACGGCGATTTGTCAGTTCGTAAACCGGAGGCGACAAGCTTGAGTCGCATGACTAGTTTCAACAGGAGCAATGTTGGGCTTTTCTTTAATCATATTAAAGAAGTTCACAGAAAATATGGTCCTATCGCACCTGATAAAATTTGGAACTTAGACGAAACGGGTCTCAGCACAGTCCAAGGCCAATCTAAAATAATTGCCCCAAAGGGGGTAAAACAGATAGGAAGTGCTACGTCGGCTGAAAGAGGATCTTTAGTAACAATGATCGCTGCTGTAAATGCAGTTGGCAATTCGTTGCCCCCTATGTTGATATTTCCCCGTGTACATTTCAAAGATAGGATGCTCTTTGGGGGACCAGCAGGATCTATTGGGGCCGCCAATCCTTCTGGATGGTCCAATGAAGCGACATTCATTAAATTTTTGGACCACTTTTTGAACACTGTCAAGAGCTCAAAGGATGATCGTGTCTTGCTCATTCTAGACAACCACGAAACCCACCTTTCTCCGGAGGTCCTTGACAAGGCATCTAATGCAGGCATTGTGGTGGTTACTTTCCCCCCGCATACTTCACACAGCTAGGCTACAGCCTTTAGACCTTTCTGTTTACGGACCACTTAAGACTTACTACAATCAAGCTGTTGAGGCCTGGCTGCTTAATAACAAGGGTAAGACCTTTGATATATATAGCGGAAGGCCTAGGCACAGATCCAAGAGCATTCACTCCAAGTAATGTGATGTCTGGATTCAAGAAATCTGGAATATATCCATTTGATGAAGCAGTTTTTACTGACGAAGATTTCCTGTGCTCTTATGTCACTGACAGACCTATGGATACTTCAAGCTCAGTCCCTGCGCTCTTTTTAAACGTTGAACCGTCAAACTCAGGAACTGCTTCTTGTTCAATCTTAGATCCTGGACCATCTACTTCATCAGCAATCGTTTCTTATCCTCCGCTATCAAGCACATCTTCAGTTACCGAGCCCTTTGATCCTAAGTCTTCATCTGAATCTGTAATTACAACACCAAATACGCCACGTAACACAGCACCAAAACCATGCTTTACCCCTGAAGAGGTTCAACCTTATCCCAAGGCTGAGCACCGTAAGAAGAAGAGACAAGGTAGACAACCAGGAAGAACCATGATTGCTACTGACACGCCTGAGAAGAACATAATTAAAGAACAAAAGACCAAAAGAGATAAGAAAAAAGGAACTGTGACCGAAAGAAAACCCTCTTCAAAAGACCTGGGAACTTTATTTGAGATAACAGAAAAAAATAAAACTGACAAACATAACAAGAAAAATCAAGGTAAGAAGATGAAGCTAATCAAACAGGATTCAAGTTCTTCCTCTGATTCAAATGAAGCGTTAAGCCTTGTTTCCACTGATAATGAGGACAGCGATGAAGAAGAATGCCTGTATTGTTGTTCATCTAAGTTGAGCGATAGAGGTGGAGAGAAGTGGTGTGAATGCACTTCATGTGGCCGTTGGGTGCACTATTTGTGCGCCGGAATTGAAGGGAAAGAATGGAAAATGTATTTATGCGACTTTTGTGGAAAAAGGAAAAAATAGACTTTTATGTATCTGATTAATAAGCGATAAAACCATGTTTTCTGTATAATTCCATAAATTTATTTTGTTTCTAGGAAATAAACAGGGTTACAGTTAAAAAGTTCATTTATTTACCCTTAGACTAAGAGTTTTGTATTAACCCTTTACTTTATTTTACCTGGTCCAAGGTACAAGAGGTCTGTTCCAAGGTACACGATGCTTGTGTACCTTGGACCACTTTACATGTTAATAGATTTAAATTTTTCTTGTCCAAAGTTATACAAATAATATAGTTTAACGATATCTTATGTTGTTCTGGAAGGTTTAAAGTATAGCTGGATGCTGTTTAAGTATTATGATTTCTAAAAACTTTGGCGCAAAAAAATGAAATGTAAAAAGTGGTCCAAGGTACAACGTGCTCCCCTACTGGGCACAGTTGTAACAATATTATTGTAACCATAGCAGAATCTACTTATTCAGCTAAGTAAAACATGGCCGACATGGATCATTATGCCCATATACTGTAGAAAACGCATCACTAATTAGTAGGTATAAATTTTGTTGGGTGATAACAGGCATATTTCTGGGCGTTAATTTTTTCCGTTGCAACTTTGATTCTGAGTACAATGTGGGAGGGCTATTATCAAAGGAACGAATGAGGCAAAGGTTTCTACTTATACTGTCGGGAATTTGAGTTATGTCCGAGTGTCAATAAGTGGCAAAACGTTTTTGATTAATGAAAGACACAAATTCACAAGCAATATTTTATTACACCAATTTAGGCCTTACACTACTTACAATAGTCCTATGATCGTTCTGAACTTGAATGTGAGGAATCAATTGCGTCATAATTGTGAATACGGCTGCGCACTGCAAATGACAGACCGTCGCCTTTGCGTGCAGCAACAGGAAAAAACCACCGAACAACGCAATCGCCGAATACTTCATGAAAATTCGTACAAGTGCCCATGTCGTATCCATTTTTATCAGGCCCATCATAAAACACAACCGGCCTAAACGCTTCCAGTGTCGTACGGTTATGGGCAGTTAAGTAAAAATGGTACCCGGTTAACGTTACCAAACTCATTGTAAATGTAATACCGACAAAAAACAAAAACAAAATCTGAAAATGGCCTTGGGAAGACTTCCCCGTCCAATATCTGACAAAGTACTGCGCAGTAGTTGCAGTAATAAACAAACAATAAGCCAAAGAATAACAGAGGAACAAAACGAAATATTTGTAATTAGTAAATCCGACGCAATTATTAATCCACGGACAGTGGTGGTCCATTTTCAGTACGCACTCCCCACAAACGGAGCAGTGATGAGAACGGTCCGGTTTGATATGGCGGCACTTCTTGCAGTACCTCACAGAACCGCCCACCGTATAATTTGTTGTTGGTAATACACTAGCGAAGGTTTCCAGTATGCTTCGTGCCATTTCTTCCGAATCCGCGTGCATTAAACGATCATATTCGCCATCTGGTAACTTAAATTGATCAGGAACGGTGCCAATGCCGGTACAAATAGTCTTGAAATACGTCCAGTAAAACATGAAGAATACGACATGATAAACTACCATGTAGGTCACCTTTTTTGCAAAAGGATCAACGGTGTATAAGCAAAATTCGACTACATAAACGTAATATGACCAAAATGTAATTAGCATTATAAACAGGACAGGTATCCACTTTGCTGCTCGAATGCACGAATGAGATTTTGCGTCTTTTATTTCTTGGGGCATAAGGAACGTTACCTTAAATGACAAGTTTGAGGTTTTTACAGATATGTCAGGGCCACCTATTCAGCGTCATTGTTAATCTTTTCTTTATATGAATAAAATCCATACAAAGGGGCAAATTAACTAAACGTTTTGTCAAAAAAATGTTTCTAATCTGTTGATCCAAGATTTTGGAATCAAATCTTTGTGTATCACAGAGCATAAATGGAGGTGAACAGCAAATTTGACACATGCTCAATACTTATTACTCTCACACACTCAAATTCACATACAATTCAAAATAAATTAAATTTGTAGTTAGTAAAATGCAGGAAAGTTGGATAAACCGTATGGTAAAAGAATCCATTTTCTTACCAGAATATGAATATGTTTTGTAGCGAATATTCCGGAAATCTCGATAAACATCGAGGCGCCATGAAAGTTTAGCCATTGGTGATAAAAGGCAGATGTGACGCAATCTTTCCGGGAAATATAACGTATTAGAGGACACTCAAGTTTGCTATATAAGCAAATCAAATTGCATTTGAGGACAGTTAAAATTTCAACGCCGAAATGTTACAAATTTATGGTTAACTGTAAATAAAATAAATCACGTAATTAAATTCACATTACAGTATATTACACACAAATATTATTTTAATAAAATAAAATGATCCTCTGATTTGCTTTTAACACACTTTTAATAACATCAGAGTAATAAAATATGGAAATATTAATGGTAAATATAAATCAATAAATAAATTTCGAGTAACTAGTAGTTTTGAGTCGAAATTTAAAAAAGAAATTTCCTGTCTCAAAGTTTAAAATTGGAAAACAGAAATTTCAAAAAATTAATTTCTAATGTTCCTCTTCTACATTTTCGTAAAAAAACACATTCCGATACATTCCGGAATAAAAAATAAAAAAGGCGATTCCGATACAATTTCGGAATAAAAAAAATGACATTCTGATGCATTCCGGAATCAAAAAGGCACTTCCAATGTAGAATGATTTTAAAAAACCACATTCCAATGCAATGGAAAAGGCGGTTCCGATGTAATTCCGGAATGGAAAAGAACACATTCCGATGCAGTCCGGAGTAAAAAAAAACAAAAAAACCGATTCCGATGTAATTCTGGAATTAAAAAAGGCCACATTTGGATGCATTCCAGAATAAAAAAAAATTTAAAAGGGCGATTCCGATGTAACTCCGGAATGATTTTTAAAAAACAAAAAAAGCAACATTCCGATGCATTCCAGGATAAAAAAGGCGATTTGTATGCAATTCTGGCATAGTAACAAAACAGATACATTCCTATGTATGTGTGTTCCAAAAGACGATTCCAATTGAATTCCCTAATGATTATTTTAAAAACCAAAAGATCCGATCCATTCCAATTAATCCGGTTTCAAAAAAAAACAGGGAACAATAATTTCATTAAAAAAATATATAAATTATTAGCTTTATTATTATACCAGGGAGTGCGCGAAGGCGCGAGACCCTTAAAATAAACATTCCGGTGTGTTCCGGAATAAAAAGGCGATTTCGATGTAATACCGGAATCATTAAAAAAATCACATTCCAATGCATTCCGGGATTTTAACTTTTTTTTTTTATTAAAAACGGCGATTCCGATGCATTATTCCGGAATTGAAAAAATTAAAAAGATGACTCCGATGTAATTCCTGAATGAAAAAAAGCGACATTCTGGAATCAACAAAGGCGATTCCGATTAGAATGATTTTAAAAAACCACATCCCAATGGATTCCACAGTGTTAAATTTTTTTTAATTAAAAAAGTCGATTCTAATAATAATAATAATAATAATAATAATAATTTTATTCGTCCCTTGAACTTGATCGTTGTGGGATTCTAATGCATTCCGGAATAAAAAAATTTTAAAAGGCAATTCCGATGGAATTCTGGAATAATTATTTTAAAAAGAGATCCATTGAACTAGTAACATAGAGGTTTTAATAAATAATAAACAATACACACTCGCTTAGCAGCTAACCCTGGCATATACAACTAAAAGAAAAGGTCTGTCTCCCTGCTTATATATTTTTGTTTATTTTCAATTCATTCCCACTCTTTCATAACTTTATCATACTCCTTCTCATCTACAAACGGCAAGTCTATATTCCTAATCATATTTTCTCCACAGTATAAGCACTCCGACGCGATTATATTATCGATATCCCCTTTGACAACATCCCTTGCAGAAATACCCGACGAACTTGTACTTACGGAATCCGTATTCGTTTGAGTACTTAAAATTTTCTGTTGCCGTTGAAGTTCTGCCAATTTAAATTTCTTAGCAGGCCCTTAAAAAAAAAGTATGCATAATGTTATAGTTCTTGCCTTTTCATAGCTATCCGTTTGTTGAATGGCTTACAGTAAAATGGACGAACGGACAGATATGAACCAGGGTGGTGAAGCATTTACCTAACATTGGCTTTAATTCCTTGAGTAAACATTCACTATGAAATTTGTGATTGCAGGGGAATATGTAAAACGGGCGGGTTAACAAAGTAAGCCCGCAAATTTCACATATGTCTCCAACTTGTAGGAAAGTATATCGATTGCGAAATGTTTGAATTTGCTTTCTCACAAGATCGGCAGACTGTGTCGCTTCTTCCATTTCGTCTTTTAAATCTTGAATGTGTTTATTATATTCCTGTAGAAAAAATATCGATCATTATTTGTTTTGTTATTATCGCATATAATGTTAGTTTCCATGTAAAGTAGTTTGTTTTTGAAAAAATAACAGTCAGTCAAACGTGTTGTAATATTCAATTAAAAAATGACTTCTCAAATATTCACACGGTGCTTCCCAAATAACCTTCACACAATTGCCTTACCTTCAAAGACTTACATATTGCATTTCGAAAGTGATCGATTGTTACGAAATCTGAAAAAAATGGTAAAATATCTTCGATCCGCAATAGATCACAGTGATCGAGAAATTCCATTGCCATTTCTATATTATCTTTTTCGCTAACCACATGCTGTGCTAAAACAGTTTCTTCAGAAGAGAACGGTGAAATGCTCTTTACCAATTTTCAGCCATAATTTCTTGCGAAGTTCTGTATCGTGTTGTTGTACAGTGTTGGCATATTGTTTCGCTAAATTTATATCAATTGTCAATGCTAAGTCGACTGCCGACTCCCAAAGGCCCAACATCGCGGATAATTGCACACAAGCTTGCGTTAACTTGTGTTCTTGACATAATCGTAGCGCAAAGTGGACATTATAATGCACCTCAATCGATAATAATCAGATAATTACGTGAAGAAGTAACTTACCATTGTTAGATCCTGCCCTTGACTATCCAGGTACTTCATCAATTTTTCCGAATTATTTTTAGCGTACAAAGAAATTAACAAGTTATGTATCGCATGTTCGGTGTTTAACAATTTCTCTACACAAAATTCTAGGTAAGTGATAACTTCGTTACAGTGCAACTCATCTTCACAATTTGCAAAGGCCGGTAATAATCTTCTGGGAACTAATTTCGATCCTTGCTCGATCAAGGCCTTCACCGTGAATTTCGGGATTTCTTGCATTAGTATCGGCGAAAATTGGTAAAACAATTCTTTGTTATTTTGACTTTTAAGGACGTCTAGCGCCTCGTGAAAACTATTCTTGTAAATCTGCTCTCTGATCAACTGAAAACAATTTTGACTAAGGGTTATGTTATCTATGGGTTTGGGCCATTAGTGCACATGCACATATTTAAAATCCATTGTCGGGGCATGTTGGGAGGACTTTATTGAAGTATTTTAAATGAAATTGCAATTATACAGGGTGATTTATATCAAATCGCATTTGTTTAAAATAGAACCCCCTGTATATTTTTGCATATTTCGACTCCTTGCTCAATTTTAATGTGACTTTATGTATTACACGTCAAATGAGTTCGTTTAGCCGCAATTCGTCATTTTTTTCAAAAAGTAGATGTGATGTCCTGAAAAAATTGAACATCACAGTTATCGTAAAGAAGGCAGTGACTCTGCAGTGTTGCTAATCATGCACACAATGCAAGCACATCGCATATAGTACAAAATATATAAACAATAAAATCTGATGTGCGCATGCGCAGATTGTGCAAGGCCAACTTTCTTATTTATGGAGATATTTCTTTAAAATTTTAACCAAAGATGCTTTTAGTGTAAGCAAACGTATCGCATATTGTAAACATCAGATTAATGTTCGCACGCGCAGGATGCGCAATATCAACTGTCTTATTTATCGAGATATCTTTTTGAAATTTTAATCACAGATGCTTCTGTTAAAGCATTGAATAAAAACACTATAAAGAAGCCTAACCTTATGGAAGAAAGTGCGATATATCCCCTTGTACCTGCATTGGTTGTGACCACCGCACTCTTTGCGGTAAATACAGGGAACGCAAATTCTCATTCTTCTCAGTTCAAGAATCAACATTATCGACAGTGTTCCCATTATATTCTTAGTTGAATCTCTGTCGCGCTTTATTTCCACGGCGTTAGGCACTATAAGTGTTTTTATTCAATGGTTAAAGGCAAACATATTTGATATTGCAAACAATAGATGTGCGCATGCGCAGTCAGTGCCAACTTCCTTATTTATGAAGATATTTCTTTGAAATTTTAACAATAGATGCCTCTAGTAAAGAAAAACATAGTGCACATACCTATGGCCTTTTGGGAAGTACTAATCAATTCATGCAAAATGCGCTGAAAACCTTTTTATTTTTTTGTGTTAAAAGAAATCACTACCATCTTGAAAATTGCAATCAAAGGTAACTTGATTTTTTTAAATGGAACTACCAAGCACTTTTTTTGCATCAAATATACTTCACGCTAGGAGGGCGACACTGGCCTTCTAGTAACTGAGTTAAATAACTAAAATTTACCGTTGAGTTGGCGAGATTATAGCTACCTGCAGCAAATCAGTAACATTAGTCAGGCCGGTGTTGCCAAAGATACTTCATAATTTAAAAGCTGTGTCAGAGAGGGTCAGGTTACTCAGAACAATACCTACGTCCAGTGGTGTAGTGGAGCCCTGCTTGTGAGAGGGGAGCGGCGCTCCGGCACAGGATAGGAGACGGAGATAAGATAAGTGATGATAACTAATGATATTTGCGACTTAGATAAAATTAGTCTTTGGTTAACAACGTAAACTAAAGGTCTGTAATATGGTGTTTGTTCATAACGTTTAATAAACAACTAAAAAGCCAACCGTAAAAACAAACTTGAATTTCTTTTATTTTTTACACCTTTAGAGCAATAATTTATTCAAAAATCTACGAACTGAAATTGTTTCAAAACCCATGTATTTTACTGCAAATTTTTAAAAATTTTCCTGGACCCCAATTTTGCTGGGGGGGGGGTATTCGATACCCTTGGTTGCCTGCATTTTAAGGGCTCCGGTACTGCTAAATTTGGCACTACACCACTGCCTACGTCTCAACAGCATAAATATACCGCCAATTCGATAAATAAAAAATGAAAATTTCTGATTTTCGTTTTTAATTTTTTCATGGTAAAGTAATCTTACTCTACATTTCTTAACACATTATCCAGACACTTTTTAAAGGAGATTTCGAATATGGCATCCTGTTTTTAATATGTTTTAAGATGACAAAGAAACACGTGGCAACTTTAATTTTTATTATGGTAGCCATTTCGGATTTTGACATTTCCCAATTTTAATTGTCTGCGAAGAGTGCTTTGGAAAAACGAAACGTTCTTTTGTTGTGAACAAAAGGTTGACTTATTTCAAGTAGTGTCATTTACGTTTGTGCTAGTTTTATTGCGAAAATATTACTTATTCTTATGTATTTTGTTCTAATTTGAATTACAATTTTCTTGCAAAACGAATGTTCAATTCTGTTCAATGAAAATCAAATTTTCTCAACACTAGTTCCCTGCCAACGCTGCAACCAGACAGATGGATCAAACTGTCAAACTTTTGTTCACAATAAAAGAACGTTTTGTTTTTCCAAAGCACTCTTCCCCAAAAATTAAAAATTGTACTTTTAGGAAAAATGTGATACTGAACCACTATGTGTGATATATCGTTGTAAAGAGAAGAATAATATGGAAAAACGTCAAAAATTGAGTTTAGTATTTTTGACACTTGACAATTCTGCCTGAAAGTTTTTCAGCTCTTCCCTTTATGTCGAAGAATATGTGCCCCAAACTTGGTTCCAATGGGTTCGCCCGTTTAGCCGGAAATGGGATTACAGAGAGACAACCAACATCGTTGAGAATTTGTTTGATTCGGATTCCTGCTTTAAAACGAATACTTGAATACTTCCGTCAAAAAAGTGGGGGAGGGGGGAGTCATTTCTTTATCATAAAATAGCTGTAAGAGCACCCTCTCACGAGGCGTTTTGGAAGCGCTGCAGAGTGGCTCCCGTCTCTGCGCGGCTTGTACCAGAACAAATGCGCGCTGCTGGTAGCGCGACCCCTTCACACGGCGCGATTCTCAGCGCCACTTGTAGCGAGATGCATCGGCATCAAGGTTGACTACTTACTACATAATGGATCGTGGCAACACATTTAACAAATAACTATTTCAACGAAACGTATACAGCCTACATACACTTCTTATTATCAAGTATTGTATGGTAATACATAAAGTCACACTAAAATTAACCAAGGAATCGAAATATGCAATAATATACAGGGGGCTCTGTTTAAAATGCAGCTTTGATATAAATCACATTGTATAACAATTGTAATTTCATTGACCATATTTTAAATATGTGCCCACAATCTTACACCGACGCACTAATGGCCCACCCTGTATAGAGCTTATTCCTCAGAGAACCTTCCCAGAGGAATAGACAGCGTATACCTACCTTCTCAAAATCTTTTTGGACGATAGTTAGTTGAATCGAATTCGTCTTATCACCATGACTAGCCATAAGATTGTAAATGGTAGATTTAATACTTTTAATCCGTTCAGCAACTTTTTCCAATGCCAAAAAGGCCTGAAAGTCCTTTTGCAGGTCAAAAAATTGGGGCGTTTGCTCTTTTCCAGAAATTCTTAATTTTTCCAGTTGATTGAGATACAGTTCAATGACCCATATGACGATTAAGGTGATCTGAGTTTTATCGTGAGGATTAAACGTCTCCAGTTTTTTGCATAAAAATGTTTTCAAGGCGTCTTGTTGATTCACCTGTATGAATTTGAGACAAATTTCTTCAAAACCGGACAGTGCCAAGGCATAGCCGTTCGCACTCTCCATATACTTCTTTTCTTCAAATAACATATCCGCCTCCTTTATTAGCACATGATTGTAATGGACCGGATTATTTCTAGAGTACCTCTTCGCCAAATCAAAATTCTTGCCGTCACAGTAAATTTGCCATACGTTCCGATCTTCTTTTGCAATTTTAAAACGAAACACAGTATTTTCCGCAACGGCCCATATCGTTCCTAAACCTCAGATAAAAAACAGTTAACTCTTGAAAAAGAAAACATACCCGCAATAGGATCTTTAATTATGTTTACCAGGCGCCCGAAGGCCTCGTTGTAATTGTCTTCGTACACTAACTCTTTATTCAACAAAGACACGCCCTTAATTTTGTCAACGTATGCGATTAACACATGAAACTCGGTTAGTACGCAAGCGATTGGCGGTTTTTGCAATACGGAATAATCCTGATAGACGGGTTTCGGGTAAAAGATTTCTTTCGATTGTTTCATAACTTCGGAGATGTCCTTGTCGGATAGTGGATCAAACTAAAACACAAGCACGTTACATTTTTAACGTCCTTGGGGGGGTTTGTACATTTTCAGTTAGGTTGAAAAACTTAGCACTGCGCCCTCATCGCGCGACATCATTGCAAACAATTTCCCTTAGTTTGAGAGTGTGATATTTTATGTTTCAATCGATCGCATGTGCGTGGTGCGTTGTTTGTAGGCCCTGAGTGCCTTTCAACTTTATAGCATTATTAATTGGTGACTGGTGAATAAATTTGTATTGACCAGTTGGATTTAGTCTCCCCAATATTCCCATTAAATTTATTTTTCATGCAGTTAACTCATAGAATAATTTGAAAAAATAAGATAACAAAAGATAGCTGTCACCATTTTCATTTGTCTTCAAAATAGATTTACTGTAATTTTGTTTAGTTTTAAATAATTCTAAACTTCAATGACGAATATTGAAACCAAAATTCCAGACAGGAAGGCATATTATTATATAATTTAAATTTGCGGCTCATGTGCTAAGTAATGAGGGTGGAACTGTAACGAAAACTACCTTTGTGTATAGAATACAATCTTCGATCAACCACGCCAGTGCTGAAGGGTTACTGTTATTTTCAGACCAAAACTTTAGGCGAGAATAGCGTAACTTGCTTTTCACCTCGTAATAAGTTAGACTTTCGGGAATATTCAAATATTTGTTAAAAATTTGCTGCAGCATTGGCTTCTCGTCGGAAGCGATTGTTCCGACGAAATGATATAAACGAATTGGTGTGGCGACAAAAATGAAATACCTGTCGGAATTAAATATTTGACGAAATTCTATTCCGTTTATAGGCGTATTTGTACCTTTCCCAATGTCAAATACCTGAAAATGCAGAAATATTATGCTGCGTTAGATATGGACCAATTACCTGTTTGCAATATAATTCCAATCCTGTAGTGAAAAATTTATCGCCTTCTAATAAAATTTCCGTTTCAAATATGAGCCCTTTTGAGGTACCTACAAAACAACATCCAGTATCAACAACCGAAAGGCGAAGCCCAGCCTACTAAATATCAAGGTGAGAACTCAAATTCAAATTGTTTCACCCAATCTTTTGAATAAATTAAATTCTTGTTACACTTGGTACCATTGCAAGTTCGCTTATGTAAAAGGATGAGAAAAAAAAGGGCGTTTTTTGTTTTTGGAAACCCAACTATACCTATCAAAATGGGTCCAGTAGAAGCTTCAAATTTATTGGTATAATTCCAACCAACTTCAGTTACTTCAAGACCACGAAATTTTGTTGTGGCACGTAGTTTATGTGAACTTTTAGGCAAATACAGTAATTCCGACACTGTTTCTTGAGTACGTGGTGAAAAGCTTAGTAATAAGTGTACACCGGTGGGATCCAGAAACATATTAGATAAACGACAGGACTTTGTGTACTTCGCTAGTGATATTTCTACAAACAAAATTAGACAGCAATTATTCAAAAACCGTACCAATAGTACCATTCTGTTGATCGGGTTGTTGAATATCCATTCGAAACAGTATGCTGTTTGCCATTGCTACGACTAAATATTTATTTGATATAGCGACGTGCGTTACTTTCTCGGAAGGAGTGAAATTCATTCTTGCTTTTTCAAAGATGGGGACATCTTGTTCCAGCTTCATGTGAATGAATCCGGACTGATTCTAAAGACAGTTATGGAGAATTGGTCATTGGCAATTCCAGTTTTTAACTTACCCAGGTATTGTTATGTTCGGACCTCTGTGCAGGTTGTTCAAACTGGTCAAACATACCCGCCATGATTTTATGGGTCTTGCCTCTGTAATTCAACGAAGACAACTTATGTATCTATAAAGAAGAAATACTGTTTTGTATTTAAAAAGCACAGCCTCCCATAGACGTATGCCTAGCCACAATTCACAAATCGCGAAAATGTGGCTACGCGACCTCAGTTCCCTTTATATACAAAGTGCGTTCGATTATCCGTTGAGTGAGAAGAGCATACGGTGCAAAAGGTCACGTGATCACTGAGGCAAATCAATAACTGTACAACAAACGCACGGTATAGAGCAGATGGATTTTGGTTGGTTAAATACTAAATCATTAATATTAAAGGAATTTGAGAAAAATTCGCTAAAAAGTGAAGGCATAATTATTCTTATACATCAGGAACTTTGCAATTTCAAAAAAATATCTCCATAAAAAAACTTGACATTGCGCACATCTGATTTTTACACTATGCGATATGCTTGTCTGTACTACAAGCATCTGTAAAAATTTCAAAAAGATTCCATAAATAAAAAAGTAGACATATTGCACATATCGATTCTCAAGATTTTCCTACCGAATGCAAAAAGACAAACTAAATATCTTGAAAACTGTAATACCCGCATTCACAAAAGATGATTAAAAATATTAGAATGTTAGCCACGTTTGATTATAAGATAAGATGTTTCCCATTCTAATATTTTTAATGATTGATTAACCTTAATTCTTTGTGAAACAGGGCATAGGAGTAGTTCAGGCCTCGAACAGACTGATGGAAAAAGTTACTATAATAGCTCGGTCCAGTACAAGTTGGAAAAAGCAGTAAATAATCCCCTGTCACTCAAATTGTTAAACAAACCTCATTAAATATTTTAATTTTTTATACGCACATTTTGCTTTCTTGACCAGTGGGACCTGCTCCTGATGAAGTAGTGAATGAATACATATATGGCTTTCTTAATCACAAGATCCACAAGTTTTCTTAGAAAGTTTATTTTTTACAATATTAAACCTAATTCCGTAAACAAGTATCACTCAGATACTACTGGATCTCTCCTATCCGCCTTAATTTGTGATCGATGACGTTTCTTAAATAATCGCTCTCTCATCGCCTTTTCGTATCTATTAAAACCCACTTAGAAAAAATTATGATTGATCATTAATACCTTCGTCTTAGATGCTCAGCAGTTTCCTCGTCCACAGTATGACTTGGAATCATCACCGAATAGATACACTCCCGAAGTTTAGCTAAGCAATCTGCCAAATTTAATTGTTGGGATCGGGTTAGATCGGAACGAAATATCAGAAATCCATCGTTGTTCATCCTCGTTTTTAGCTAAAATTTACAATTTAAATACAAATCAAATCCTTAATCTACGTACCTTAGCCTTTAAATTTTGCTTAACTTCATCGGTTAACCACGTGGCGGAGTCTAAATGGAAACGAACGTCGACTTTGGTGTTTACCTTATTTACGTTTTGTCCACCGGGTCCACTGCTTTTCGAATATGTTACGTCGAGTTCGTTCATAGGTATATAACCGGTAAAATTATCCGCACTATTCGCAAACTAGAGAAAATCGACAATAATTGTTAAAGTATAGCTATGTTATGAAGGTGGATACCTTCGGAGTGGTAAGTTTGAGACTGCTTGTTGGGTACAACTTATCTAGGGCTATGGCACTTTTGTACGAGACAAAACGTCTCCCGAAACCTAAAATTATCTGTTTTGTACCCATCATAATTCAAAAACTGTGCTCTAGCCTAGGTCACTGATTAGTGAGGTTATGTTTACTTTTCCAGTGGTATACAGAGTACGCCAAAAAATTGGGTTGTACAGTAAACTGGACATTTTCTAAGTTTCTTTTATTCTGATCAAAAGATTTGAAAAGCGTTTATTTCCCTGATGTTTTAATACGCTAGCCAGTTTGCCACCCTTTCCAGAAGAGACAGAAAGCCGATCCAAGCAAACTGCATTCTATGGTATTAAGGTTGTTTTGAGACTTTTGACAGTAATTGAGGTTAGAAGTTGCTCTCAATTTATCTTGATTATATCATTACGTAAAATCTAGTTTTTAGGTTTTATTTAATAAAATAGAGCAATGCCATCATCAGAACATAGCAACTTTATTGAAAAATTTTTGAAGTCTTTCTATAATCTGTTCGATTATCCGGCCACTCTCATTAAAGGTATATTGTCCTCTTAACGCTGTATTTACCCTGGTTTTGTAGAAAAAATTGTCGAACCAAACCAGCAGAGTTACCCATGGTACCATCAAAAATTTAGGAGAGTTCCTACGATCGATCAGTGCTACAACGACGATCCCATTTGCTACTTCGAAGCGGATCAGCAATATAAAAGAGACAGGTAGGGTAGATTTTTGAACCGGTTCATTTACTTATGCGTTTTAATAGGCAAGTCGATAGCGAAATATTGAGTATTTTACGACAACGTTTTGAAGATTGTATGGTGTATGAAGCCCCCGATCACTTAGAAAAATGTAAACACCTTCTGCAGCAATACGAGGACGGGGCTACAGATTGGTTTACCAAATGTAAGTTTCTTTAATAAATTTAATTGTGGTTACCACTTTGTCATTCAGATGGAGATTTGGGGGCCTATCACAATGTGAAGGCAGCCTATATGAAGCAGAAACATCGTATGGTGTGGGAACGTAGGCATGGCCCTGTCGGTTGTGGCATGAAGGAGGATTAAGCCCAGTTTAATTGTTTAGTATTTGCGAATAGAGATTGTAATATGATTTAATAAAGAAAATTACAAATCAAAATTTATTAAGTTAAAAGTACAAAAATTGAGCAACATTATATCTTAGTGTAAAAATACAGCACATAACGTATCAAAAGTATCCACTTAATTTACATAATTAATCTAAAAAATCGAACAATAGTCGTGACCCAAATTAAAAAACAAATATTAACAAAATGCAGTTTTGCTAACGATTTTGTTGAAATTAAGTATCACGGTACAACATCAACGAATAAAAGTAAGTTGCACTTTATCAATGACCAGTATGATAATCGTGTAAATTTGTACTTACTCATCAGATCACATATTAAAATTAAACATTATTTTATTAAAATTCCTCGGTTGGGCAGTACCACCTGAAGTGTGTAATGAAATTGTCTATCGTAAATAACACGTTTAAAACTTACCAATGCTGACTTGCTCATTTTCGGATAAGGAATTGTCATTAAAGAACATTGTGAAATCATTGCGAGAGGTATTCACTCCGGAATCATCTGCGAGAATATTAAATTATGTATAAACTTCGCACTATACAACCTTGCGACATTAATTTATCTGGTGTAGGCAAATTTGTCGGATGAGGTGACGATATTTTTGGTATGCTCGCATTGAATGCGCTCGAATTTGCGTAATGCTGACTTTGGGACTTGGCATCGGATTCGTTTCTAATACTGAAGTTGCTCCAACCGTCCTACAACATAATTTAAATAACCCAATGTATCGTTATTTATAGTATTTATAGTACATCTAAAAAAGACATATCGGGTTTGGGCGGACTAAAACAATTACGGTATAGGTGGGTAGACGTAGAAGGCCAATTCGATGACTGATCACATTTCACGACAGTTGGTATCTCAATTCGATAATCTGCAAATTTATAAATTGTTTAGGATCGCAAAGAAATTGGAGACGGGACATTAAGTTGTAACCCTCCTTCTAATATGGTTAGCACATCTGTTAATAAATACTGAAAAGTGAGGCACAAATCTACAATGGGGTTGCAACATCACCATGACATATACATCATGCTGATTGTGTATTAATTTGTACCATTATTTGGCCCATTTTTCAAAATCTTTAATATTTACAAAGCCTCAGATACTCAATTTCGTCAAAATCTGAATTTTTGATGCAGACTCGCCTAAGGATTGTAATATTTTCAAATATTGTACATATTTATTTACCAATTTTGGCAGGGAAACGGCGTAACGCACTTATCTTAATAAACTGTTAATGGACAACCAAGAAGTTTAATACAACTCGATGAGCAGGGGCGGACTGGCCCAGGGGGGCGGGTGGCGATTGCCACCTGGCCTGTACGTCATAATGGCCCGTTGGAAATTTATAAGTATGTGCTGTATTTAGTTTCTTGCACTATTAATAAATTATTAACACGTTTCTCTAATTGGGGTTGATGTCAGGTTGTTAAAAAATTTAAAAATTCTGTTTTAATTGAAGTGTTTTACAATGAATTTATTATTTTTTGTCGTAGCATGAAAGTGCTGAAATACAATGATAGGCGACGCGCCTCGTTTGGATTGTATATTTTGTTACTTTTAATTATCAGCTGCAATTTAAAAAAACCTGTATTGTAATTGATTTCCGAAAAAGGAGTACTAAAATGAAGCAAAAAATGTTTTTGTGGTGCATCCCCCCCCCCCTTCATTACTACACTAATACTTTAATGGCCCGTAACCTATGCAATTCCACCTGGCCCGTAAGTACCCAGTCTGCCCCTGTCGACGAGTGTTTAAAAAATGAGGTGCAGTGAGAAATTGGCTTTCATTTTTTAGCCTGTTACTATACTTCTGCTAAAATCCGTCTAAAACTGTAGAACTTACATGCATGCAAGTCGAAAAAAACGGGGCGGGGCCATCTTCACACTCAACTTTTACATATCAAAGTAATGAACACACGGCGCTAGTGCCCCCCCCCCCCCTATATATTTTTAATTAGATCGCATAATTCTGTGTACGCGAGTATGTGCTTATTTAAGAACACAATCAAGAAACAATTGCTATTGTTTCAAAAACGAACAAAAAACAAAAATTTGGTCAAAATATAAACGAACCTCACAGAATCAACATATAGGTGCAAACACACCTGGGCGGCGATGCAGTAAGTTTTGAAAAACTTGTTTCATTACCAGATACGTAAGCTCTTGTACGTTAAAAACACGAGGTGGATAGTTTTGTATTGCGTCAGAGACAGAAATATGAGAACATTTACATGCTCCTAAATTATGGGTGGCTCTAAAAAAATTTAAACTTAAGTAATTCGATAGAAATCGATGAAAAATGTGAAAAGTTCCTTTCCTGTATGATATTCAGCACTTCCTGTATGATATTCAGCACTTCCAAGGGTTGCGGTTATGACAGAACAGCATTTGTTCCATGGCAGCATAGTTCTAGTAAAGACAAGCATATCGTATATTGCAAAAATCAGATCTGCGCAATGTCAAATTTCTTATTTGTAGATATTTTTTTGAAATTTTAACTAAAGATTCTTCAAGTAAAGCCAAACATATCGCATATTTAAACGTGTGCGCATGCGCAGATTGCACAATGCTAAATTTTTTGTTTACAAGAAAGTTTCCGCCTAACCTTTTTTCATTTTTTAATTGTACTTGAGTTTATTATTACATGATTAATATACGAAGAATTTGTAGTTTTAAAAATAATTCGCTTTATAAAGAAAATGTGGCACTTGCAAGCGTCAGTTTAGTGTCAAAATTACTACTTAAATTATGATTCCATATCTTTTATCCTAGGCGCGATCCTAGGTAAAGTAAAAGTCAAACAAATATTACATCTACTACCTATGTCAAAAAAGTGGGGGGGTCATTTTGTACCCTGATGCAATACTATAAATAGTAATGTGTAGAAAGAAGAGCCTGTTGAATTTGGTGTAGATTCAAGATTCGTTTTTTCTTCAAGAATTTAAATTTTATTTCAATATAACGATCCGTCCAAATTCAAGGGTCCATTTATTGTTTGTATTTTTCTTTGATATAAAAAGTGAATAAATAATTGTTTAGATGTATGTTATTCAACTTTAAGAAATTTGCTTATTTAAAACATAAAGTTGCCATTTTAATTGCAATTACGTTAAAACGTAAACAAAAGATATTAGTGTTTGTAAGAACCTATTTTGAAATTAAATTACTTTCAATATACAGTTGTAGTTGTTCTTTTTGCTTGCGAGTGGAAAAGAGGTTTAGAAGGGAAAAATCTGCAGTCAGTAAAACTAAAAAAAAGGGAAAATTTGATAAATAAATAATATTGATTGTATCAGAGTCTGGTTTTTTGGGGGAAGGAACGGAACGGAAGGGATTCAGTTCTCCCTAGATCCCCTATGAGTACGACCCTGCTTAACCAGACTTTTAATGCGGCTCATATTCAATAACACTGATCCCTGAACTTGTGGAAATCGATTGGCGAAGGTTTGACGAGGAACAGACAACAGACAAACGGATGAAACCATCAAATAAAGAATTTTTTTTTCTTTCGAAAAATTCCCCTATAAATGGATCGCCGAAATGTATGTACAGTCATTGACAAAAGTAATGATCGTCGAATAGGTAGATCCTGAGCACACACAATCAACATTTGAATATATTGTGCAACTTGGAAATGCGAACCAACAAATTAGGCTCTCTCCTCCATGCTGCAGAGTTTACCTATTAGGCGATCATTACTTTTGTCAATGACCGTACGCGCATCAATTCAGAACGACTTCATCAAATTAGATAATTTTTTTGATATCGTCAGGACAAGGTTTCTATAAAAGGTAATTTTCAAAAAATTGCACGGAAAGACGTAAAAAAATGTTTATTTATTGTCCCTTTCTTGTTCTGGGCCTTCAACAGGCTTTCGCCCAATTACAGAGTGACCCCCATAATGCTTTTTAGAGGTTGGGTTAGAGGCTTTTTAAATCGCAAATGTAACTAATAGATGGCGAGATATACTACGGTTCTAGATGAATCCAAACCGTTGACTTCAGGTGAGAGGAGAATAAATTGACCGTCAAACGTATCAATTAAGTTTCCTATGTATACTTTCCGAAATTCCTACGGGAACGGGAACAGGAAAAATAAGATCTTATGTTTTACAGGCGAAAAGGGACTTGAGCGTAGGTTTCTTTGAGGGCATTAAGGTGTACTCATAAAGAGACGTCTCGAAGTTACCACCGTAACGGTGAAAAACGGAAACGGGGTACGGGAAAAAGCGAGACTCCCGGCGGGGGTGCTAAGTTCGCCGGAACTGCCAGTAATAATATTTCGTAGCAAATATATAATTTTTTTCCCACACGATTTCTGCATTTTTGTGAATAGGAATATGACGGGTTGCTGCGGGATCTCCCACGCCCTTTACCGGCATGATTTGGAATTTTTGGGAGTTACTCAAGCGCGTCAGATTAAAGTAAGGTGGGTTAACTACGTGTCGAGTAGTGTGCATTTCAATAATCTGAGGATTTGAGCGTTAGGAAGGTGATAAACTTGCAAAAAAAGAAACATTACCTTGACATTATAGAGGGCGTTGGATTTTTTGTTTTGAATATATGTGAATATAATCTGTCGAGTTCCACAAGCCAAAAGTAGAACAAATCGTCAATAAAGTTTAGTGCCTTCAGCAGGTGAAACATGTCAGCTGACTCAAATCATATAGTAATAGTACTAGTACTATTACTATACTATTTTTTTGTACATTATTAAAAACCTGCAACAGACGCGCCCCCCAGCGGTAGATGGATGTACTGATATCATATAACTTTTTTCTTTCTACCATCTAACTTGCAAAGTTCGATAGGTCTCTACAACGCTCGAGTAAATCCACATTTAGCATAGTGGGCTCCCCGACTATAGTGGTCATATTTTGTATTAGTCAGAACTGGAGGGCAATAATAGATATTGACTTTAGATTTTTCGGAAAAACAATTTCCTTCACGAATTTTCCATATAACTCTGATCGGTTATGATAAAAATTGGTTATTATGATCTGCTTTGGATACTTTTGACAGAGTCACTGTATATGATCAAGGGAGGCACAGCACCCTCTGGCGGAGTCGCCGTTTCAGATAGATGGGCTTGGGTGTTCACGCTTGGGGACTGTGACTCGGCCCCTCCCACCCCCGCACCTCGGTGTTGTAAACATTACCCAATCTTCAAAATGAATGATTTACCCTGAACCATTGAAACATTAAAATTCTAATTTACAAAAAGAAGCTTGCCGAAATTTCAATGTAGATTTTGCATAGCAGTGCAAAATCTGATCCTTATGGTACAGAGCAGTACAAGATTATTCCACAAAAATTTGTATGGACAAATTATGACAAAAAAATGTGTATGAATCCACTTGTGATGAGGTACAACCCCTATATAGACCCTGATAAGTGGTACAAAATGAGTGCTAACTTTATTAGTAGCGGATTATAACTTAATAAACTGAAAGTGGACCGCCACGTACTTATAAATTAAGATGGCGGACTGTTAATGCTGAATTGATAAATGACACCTACATGGGGGCAGCCATGATGTGCACTCACTTGGCGCGAAATTCAAATCAACTAATAAACAAGCATTAACCTCAAGGTTGTTTTATTAGAATTTATTAGAATGAAATAAAATAACCTTGCATTAACCTCCCGTTTTCTAAATAAATTACTGTGAGTTGTGACACATGTCATTTTCCAAGGCTGCAATATCTCTACCTCTATGCAACTGTTTGGTCAGCAGTCCATCTTAACCTATAAGTTCGTGACCGCCCAATACCTGATAACTTTTCATTTAAAGTAACATTCAACTGTTTTCCACTTGTTACAATCTGAAGCGCAAATGACATTTGCTTGAATAAATCTTCCAAGCAATTCAGTCCATAGTCGGATGCATACAGGTAGCTCCCAAACTTTCGAAAATATATCTTATTTACATCGGCCAGAGGAATGTGTCCTCCATTTACAAACAACAAATGATACAACTGCGCTGCCAAAATATAATACGGAGTTAAGAAGACGAAGGTTTCTGCACCATTATTGGACATCTAACACGTTAAAGTTGACGACTTGCGTTCCAATTTCCGAATACTTACCATAATCACAGACTTGAGTTGTTCTAATTTGGTTATGGGTAACGTTCCAAGAAAACGAACCCGATAATCGTATATAAATTTTGTAATAGTTGCCATATGAGGTGGTTGCAATAGTAATCCCCATACGCGCATTTTGAGGACAGACAGGTCTACCTCTGTTATCGCCAGTAGCGTTCCGGCGCTTCCATGGATAACCTATCCAAACATCACTTTAGCTGCCTTTTTTTAACTTAAAACACTTGCCTGAACAAAATCATTTAATGTAAGCACCAATTCCAAATGATCTTTACAGTTGTACATCTCCGGCTTTAAAGAATATCCGTGTCTCTGCCTAAAATTTGCAAAAATATCTGCAATATGTAACGCGGAATAGTTGGATTCTTTAATAATAGCTTGAATTTGCACTCCGAGGATTTCTAAAGCCAAATGTGACTTTAGCTTAATATTTCGATCTACATCGCACTGACCCTCCAGCTAAAAACATCAATGTAAATCGAACGCGGTGACGGAATTCTATAATTACATCCACCACATCCGGAATAGCCTCAAATAATTCGACAAGTTTAGAAAATCCGTAGTCGGAAACTTTGCACTGCCTACCGAAATGGTGATGATATGCGGGCACAAATTTATTGAACAGCATAGAACAGTAAGGGGTGTGGCTTAACAACTGCTGAACCTCTAGCGCGAATTGTTTAGTCCTTTGTATTTCTTCCGCGGTCTGCTCCCTCTTCGGAATGCAAATAGTTTCTACATTATCTATTGAAACAACAGCCACTACGCCCTCTTGTATTTTGCTGATTAAGTCCTCGAAACTGCACAGGCCGTACTCGACCGGGTTGAACGCTTTATGAAACGTATTTTGGTAAGCGGCGACGAAGTTTGAAACCGCAACGCGTTTTAACGGTTGGCCCTTTAAAACTCGTAGCAAATCCGACGTAAACCTTCGCATTTGGGTAGCGTGAGTTAGTGTAACGATACGTTTCGAGCCGTATCCCAAAATCTGAAAATTTTATTTTAATCTCCGTTTCTTAAAAGAACCAACTAAGGTAGGATTTTCCTTAGTTTGAGCGCACGTCATCAATTCAGTTTTTGGGGAATATTGTAATGCCAACTTTTTAACAAAAAAAATCATTTTAAACCACAATAAACGTGGGAATTACGTTTATGTTAGACTGATTAATGTATATTACAAAATTTAGGTTCTTGAAGCACAGTTGTGCATTATGTCAAAAATAAAACCAAAAACCTTTAGCGAAAAGGGTTTTTTTTTGTTTTCAGGTGACCTGCCAATTGAAATTGTGGTGGTTTACGTTTACATTGCGACACGGCAAATTTGACAACTGTATGCTATCGTTTTTATTTTATTATTATTATTTTATCGCGATTTACTACATTCGCCGACAAAAAATCCGTTAGTTTCATAACGAACAATTATAAAAGCATAACTTCCGTAAGTCTCACTGCGATATTCTGCGTCAAAAGTTGTATAACCCCAAAATGCCATCGGGTTTACAAAGAAGAAGTAAGCAACTGATTTCTAATCTTATTCGTTATTTGGATCGAGAAAGAGACAAGTGTCTCAGAAAGGAGAAGAAGCCTAGAGATTCTGGGGTACCCAAAGTTGCGGGTGCACCATGAACCTATGGGCCGCCCTTTTATTAGGCCCTGGGATGCGCGTGTCTGAAAGTTCCAGGGCATGTCCCTAGGGTAACCCAGGTGATGGCTGTGTTATACGGGCTCCCGGATGACACGCCACCATCTTGAAGCGCCCCCAGAGGAAAAATCCTGGCTTAGGACAAGTCTATGGAGGACGTTCTTCCGCAGGGAGGAGCCCGGTAGGGTTCTCCTAGCATTTGGTGTCGATGAGGCATCCTATCGGTTTCAGGCACACGCGGGGGGGCTTGCGCATCACTTTTGTGACGAAAGCAAGTGCTCGGGTTGCGCCAGGTAAGGGAGAGAGCTCCACCGGAGCAGCGGAACCCAGTACCGTTGCGACGGAGGGAGCTCAACCCCTCGCTATCAACCTCGAAAAGGCGTCGGAATTATTACCGGCGCCCTCAAAGATGTAGCAAAACTGTCAGAGCGGTTGGATGGACCACCTTTGCTCTGTCGGAAAGTAGGGGCAGGTAGAAGAGGCGACCACATTAGTAAGCGACGCCATAACCTTGAGCACGGGCGGATCTGGAAGGAAACCATCAGATCTGGTCCCCTCCTCCCAAGAAGGGATGTGCTCCGGGTTCTCTTTCTGAGACCAAAAAGTGACTCTTCCAGATAGGGAGTGGATGAACTCACCGTGCCTGTTCCTCAAACCTGAGGTTTATAGGAGGGTCCCTAACAGAAAGGGGAATGGGCATGGGTGATCAAACCGAGAGCTGGCATTAGCTTAGCACAGTGTTTCAGGCAGAGATGTTAGTCATCATGACCTATGCAGTGACAGTCAGACGGCGCTGAGGGCCCTGTCAGTAGACAGGTTCCGATCGACTACGGCGCTTGATTGCAGACGTCTATGAGGGTAAGCTCGATCTGGGTGCTAGCGCACTGCGACCTGATTTTTATTGTTACACAATTTGAAATGTTCTGTGGATTTTCTTTTGCTTTTGTAATCTTTGTTAATTTGAGTCGTGTATTTGTGTGGGGTTTTTGTCCTGAAGAAGGTTTCCCTGACATCGCCTGATTGTGTTGCGTAATATATTTTATATGTTCTCGTCTTCTCTTACACAGAAAATTATGAATTTTTATTCATTTTCCTTTACCATTTGTGCATAAAAAGAACCGCCAGTTTTACACAGATTCGAAAATGTCATGAAACATCCGTCGTCTTGACAAGAAAGTAACGGTATGGGGTTAGTCGCTTCTCGACTTCTGCTGCTAACTACTGCGGGCGTTGTAATTACGAAAAAACAATTAAAATGATTTTTTCTAATCTTTCGTCCGACGTCCGAATAATAATGTCCACCTTGTTAGTAAAAGATCGCGACATAGACATGTTACAAATAACTACCGAAATATTTTTTTTAATTGGTCAATAGAAGTCGTAGGTGTAATGGGTATCCTACCCACAATGCAGCACTGGTTGCCTACATACGCATTCTCTTCCATTGCTCGCATGATACTATGTAAACATACTTAGTGATGACGTGCGCACAAACTAAGGAAGATCCTACTATACTTACTTGTACAGCATGAGAAATCGCCTCAAAGAGATCGACAAGCCGCGTAAAACCATAATCAGCAACGCGGCATTGTCGCCCAAAGTGATGGTGATAAGTCGGAATGTAACGTAAAAGTAACAGTTGACAGTTCTCGACTGTCTTTAATAAATCTACTACTTCTCGACAGAAAATGGTGACGTTTGGCATTAATACTGACGTTGCACTATTATTATGTAGCTCTAAGAAGTGAAATTAAGGTTAAATAATAAAGACAATAATTGTCGTTACCTTCCTTATTACCCTCACTTTTCCATTTAAGATATTTAACGTTTCTGTTTTGTTTATCACATACTAATTGCACATTGTTGATACAAGTGATTAAATGCTCCAATGGTACACCGTAATCATTTTCAGGCAGACCTTGCCCAATTTCGATCGCATAACATATAGGAAAACTAAAATTATTATCAGATCATTGCGAAGAAAATTCAAACGTACCTACCTCAGTAATGGTAAACACCCGAAATGGGAACGTAGCAATTTGTTCACTTGACTTTCAAATAAACTTAGCGAAATCTTTATATTAGGTAAGGAAAAATCCAGCGCTTCCCCCCATCCTCTGTTCTCCTGACCCTCCGGACAATGGAATGTACAATAGGCGTATAGCGATAACGACTGAAAATGTGCAACTTACAAAATTTAGGATCTCTTGAATAAGACTTACGCCTTGCAAACTTAAGGAAGCGACTCCTTTGTTTGTTAACGAAATCATTCTTCCACCTTGGCCGGTAGTGATCTTGCAAATGTCTTTCAGCTGATTGATTTCCGACAGTGATATGTTACATTGATAGCGATCTTCGACTAAACCGAAGAATTTAAAAAGGGGCATTCGATTATTCGGCGTCTCCTGAAAGTTTACAAAGTAATTTCGTTGGCAATAACAAACAGGTTTTGCTATGTAAAATACGATCAGTATCGCTTTAATGGGAATATTTCATGACGGCAATTGGAGATCACTGAAACAGGATCTCGACAAACGCCGTTCATTTCGGCCTATTTGTCATCACGCAGTCGCTTAACACGATTATTGAAAATAATGTGATGGATTACCTGCAGCAATGCCGTAACTATATGTCGTAGCTGTTCCGAATCCGATTTAGGCTGCATGTAGGAGATAGTTATGCGTTTACTGCCAATACGTTGATGGTGCAAATGAGAAATCACCAGTTGAGCTTCTTGTTGAGTGCCAATTGTAATGATTGCGGCGAGCGTTCCATCGGTTTGAACTTTTAATGTAAAATTTAGAACCTAGCTCGTGACTGAATAAAACTTTCGCTGATATTAATTCCACTTACCATCACATATTGCTTTAATTTGTTCAATAAAATCGTAGACAACTCCTTCGTATCAATGGAAACATCGAGGTTTGATATGAGCAATTCTATGGGTCTCATTTTTGAGTCATCACCATTACACGGATAATTGTCTTGGCCCTAGCAGAATAATTAAAATTTAGTGTAATTAATGAAACATTATCTACATGCAGCTTCTTATTAACAAAGAGACAAAACATAATTTATTAATCTTGAAATTGCGGATTTTTCGTTTCACATGAAAACTAGTAGAAATTCGGTAGCTTATAGCTCGGACAGCTAAGCCAAGTAAAATCCTGACGATCGATGTGCGCATGCGCAGATGCTTTTAGTGAAGGTAAACATTTTTTCTTCTTCTGTACACATAAATAGTCCGTTCCTATGGCATTTGAGTACTGATCTATGCATGGAAAATGTGCTAAAGTTGCTCTCCTTAGGGCGAAAACCTTTTTACTTGTTGCGTGAATATCTTAGTAACGGAGTGTCAGAAGAGGGTGCTCACGAAGTGAAAATGATAGACGTGGACAAAGCGCATCCGTCTGTAGAGTTAAGAGAGTTAATTTTAGGTGTTAACTATTATGAGGCAAGAATTTTATAAAAGTAATTTTGTAAATAAATCTGCATCTGCATCTGTCAATATGGTCTTAACGGTAAGTAGTGATAAAATAACTATATTAAATAGTGTATTGTTATAATTGTTGAAGAAAGACCCTTCTACTAAAGTCATAGGCAACTATGGTTTCACATAGTTTAAGGAACAATTAAATTCCAATAAGTTGAAAATAAAAGAACTGTATAATTCCTGTAGCAACTTGATTACCATGCAAAAATTGGTGTTAAGACAGTTATTAAAAAATTGGTCGTTTATGGTTTTATGCAGTTACGCACTTGTAAACTTACCCTATAACATACCTACCTTTACACAAAGTGGTACCATTTCCGATGTTGCTGTATCTCTTGGAGAAAAGTGAGACTTGTTGACGGTAGACACCTGCGTTGAAAACAGAATTTAAACCAACCGAAACGTATAGCTATTGCAGATAACTTCATACATAATTAATCAGCTTCGCATTGAGTGATCATAATGATAAAAGAGAATTTTTTGCTAGAAAAACTCGATCTTTTCCTTTCAGACTCGGCCAATGTTTTTCATCATTATTTATATACTATAATCATACTCATACCATAATACATATAAACACGCACACTTTGCAAAATTGCACTTTTTTCAGTTCTTTTTGAAATTCGTTATGGGTAAACGCAAGGGAGACAATGTCGTCTTGTACCATTCTTCAAAGCATTAAAGGTGTACATAAGTGATTTCCTAAGATGGGATTCTTTCCTTCTCTATAAAGGCTGATTCAGATTATCGGTCACGTCACGATCTGCTCACGATGCCGTCAATTATTAAATCGTGTATTTTTGTTGCTTCCCAAATGAAATACTAAGTGGTTTAGTATAACTGGTTTTGTAATTTTTCTTCTCTATCGAGTGACGTAAAAATCCAATGTGGCGTCCATAATAAATACAAATGATGTGATTTACTCGAAACCCACAAGTCAAATAAAATTTATTTTAGCACCATCAGGAAGCTGAGAAAAAATAACTAGGGGTTTGTTAAAATTACTTTTTGATATCTTTGAAAATAAATAAACACCAGCGTATTTTGGAAAATGACCATTTTCGTTTGAGGAAAATTAATTCAGCATAAATATGTGCATAACTTTGCCCATTGTATCTGTAATGGTTTACGAGATACCCACAGTGAATATGAAAAAAAAACTCATCCTGTAGCTATAATTAATAAACCAAAGGAACTTATACAGTGAATTTTTTTTTAATGCGAACATAGGAGTTTGTATGCAATGTAATTTCCCTATGTTCGATTTAAAAAAAAACACATCAATCTATTGAGTAGTTCAAATGAGTAGTAGATACAATTGACAGCTGTCACATTTTTAAAAATACCGTCGTCCAATTTAATTACGAAATCGGTTAGGTTATTGCTTAGAATGTCAAGGAGGACACTTCGAACATTTATTGTAATTGTTTGCGTTATTTATTTTCTTATTTTCTTCATTTATGTATTGAATAAAGCAAATTAGTAGAATACCAGGTGCACATGGCCTACAAATAATTGAAGGTTGGTTCACAATGAATTGTGATGTCAGCGCGTGCCATGTGAAGTCAAGTTATCGTAAGTTTAAGAAAAATTTATCCTAAAGTTGCTATGGCCTCACATGGCTTAATTAAAAAAATCTTACCGAGTGCTCTTCATCATAAAGACTATGAATTGCTGTTCATAGTCACACAAATTGCGCGTTTTGGGAATGTGAACCGCGCACATCTCCATAGATTGATGTGTTTTTTCTAAAATCGAACATAGGGAAATTACATTGCATGCAAACTCCTATGTTCACATTAAAAAAAAACTCACTGTATAGTTTGATCTTAATTACAAGAGATGTCGAGTCCTAACATATCACAACCCACTCTCCCATTAATAATAATAAATTACTTTATTTATTTTTATTCAATAATATTATAATAATTCACATACTATTATAAAAATGTACGTTTGTTCTTTCAATGAAATTTGGCAAAAATGTTTAAAATAAATAAAAGTATAAACAAATATTTAGCTATTTAGTTTTAAAATATTTAAATGGCTACCATTTTGGAAAAAATGTGCATTCAAGGTACCTAGGTACTTTTGCACTTTTGCATTACATTCATACAAACCGTGAAATTATTGATATTGCTGATTTGAAACAACAAAGTTATAAATTTTTAAATAAAAAATACAAAACTTCACCGCCATCTTGGATTTTCACGGATTTACTGGTCCAGGATTAATGGGCATTTGAAGTATGTTAAAAAAGACACTTTTCACAACAAAAATGCAAAAAGAATCATTTGTGTTGCAGTTTTGCCCAGGTCAAGGGAATTTTTACACCATTTTGGCTGCAGTGCTATTACAGCAGGGTTTCAATCGGGAGAAATGAAACATCGAAACATGCCCCTAACGATAGTTCGCAAATGTTGGATACAGCAAGATGGTGCACCTGCACATAATCGGATTTATGGCTCAGTGGTAAGAGCATTGGGTTATAGATCCGGAGGTCGGGTGTTCGAACCTGGGTTGAGGTGAATTTTTCATCTGTGGCGGAGATGGAAATTACCTTAGACCAGTTCCGAGCATTCTACCGGCTACTCCGAATTAGGTTTTCCTGCAGTTTTCCTAATTCGTAAGGTAAATACCGGAGTAGTATAGACCATCTTAAGACCTTCTGCAGAGGCACCTCTAAATAGCATTATGCGGGTCACTCTGTAATTGGGCGCATGCCTGTTGAGGGCCCAAAACAAGAGAGGGATAATAAATAAATAAATAAATAAAATAATTGTTCTCGAGGACCAAAAAGAGCACACGAAAATGAAACAAGCCTCCAGCTACCCCCATGAGATCCTTTTATGCTACAGGGAACACAGCACGGGAGAGGGGGGGGGGGGGTAGTAGTACTTTTACTATAACTCACAGCATTCTCATGGGAGGATTTGGTAATTAAATAAACAAATTTAGAAAATTGAATCAAGCCATTGATTGCAATACATCCACAATCTCCTCATACATAAAAGCATGCATTGTGGATTTATTGCAACCTAAGTGTACCCCATTTTGACCAACGAACCTTCTCATCATGTCCTGCTGCTGGTGGGGGGTATGGATGATATGTTCTTCTCCAAACACATTTAGTGTTAGCATTGACCCCCCTCCATAGGCAAAGGTATTAGCATACTCAACAGGAAAGAAAGGTTCGTCTGAGGGGTATTAAACAACCCCAATGCTACTAACGCTCCTCCCCAAAAACAAGTATACTTCACACGAAAGAAAGGTTCCTCTGTCTTTTTGTAAAAACTAAGCATGAGAATCGGAGCGCTCTTGTGGAAAACCTTAATACCGGGGGCTTAAGGGGGTATGGAATACTCCCCCGCCATCAATGAAAATTTTATTACCTTTTCTCAAAAGCTAGCATGAGGGAATAGAAATTATCGAGTCTTCATTTGCTGAGGGTACTGCTGGGGAGTATTACTGGAGGGTATAACCCCGGGCGCGTTCCATAAAACATTTTAAGTTAGCATACTCTACAGGAAAGAAAGGTTCGTCTGTCTTTCTCTAAAAACTAACTATGAGAATCGGAAGGCTCTTGTGGAAAATCATACGACTGGGGGGGGGGGGTCTAGGGGGTATGGATACTGTTGCCACATGGCCGAGATTGTCCCGGAATTAGCTGCACTGTCCTGAATTGCGATTTTTCATACATCAATCCTGGACAAAAAAAAACGCAACGTCTTTAAATTAGTTACACGTACCCAAACCCAACCATAGAGTTGGTGGTATTGGCGACACTGCACAATCCAAAAGAAATAGCCACAAACCTCGACCGTGGGATAGATTTGTGCTTTATATTTATTTTACCTACGACTATACAACTTTTTTTGTTTAATATGTTGGTTTTTGTTCCAGAATAATATGGTTTTGTTAAATTTTGATTGATATTAACATTTTCTTTCTTCAGGATTTTTATGAAAATATTTTTGTTGTTGTATGGCATTATGCGGGTCACTCTGTAATTGGGCGAAAGCCTGTTGAGGGCCCAGAACAAGAGAGGAATAAATAAATAAATGACATTTAAAAAAATTATAATAAATGTAAATGTAAATATAGTTAGCAATAAAATATTGCTATTATACGTTCTTCCCCAAAAACATTTAGTATCAGCATACTCCACAGAAAAGAAAGCTTCGTCTATCTTTTTCTAAAAACTAACTATGAGAATCTGAGTGCTCTTGTCGAAAATCGTAGTATTGGAGGTCTGGGGGTATGGAATACAGTATAGCATAGCATTTTTTATTACGAATACAACGATGGCACCCACAAAAAAACAAAAGTTGGAAGCTGTTGGTTTTAACAGGATGGTGCACCGGCGCACAACGTCGAATCGTGAGAGAATACCTGCCGGACAAATTTGACAATCTTCATATCTTCTATGGATTACGGGATCCCCGTGATAAACATCCTTACCTTGGACACAGTGTATAGCTACTAGGAAGAGGTAAATTATAACATCTTTGAATGCTTCTCTGCATGATTGGAGAAAATTTAGATAAAAATCAATCAAATTATTCGTGGTAGAACGAATAATCTTGGCCAGTGGGTACTACTTCTCCAATAGACAATGTTATAACATTGTACTACATTGTAAGATAGTAGATTAGAAACTGTTGCTTCACACATGATCATAAATAACATAATTTATTATTTTTTATTAATTAGTCTCTTGCTGTAAACAAAAAACAACTGGCAAACCTTAAAGCAACCTGTGTGAAAGAGTAACTGATACCATATGATGGCGGCGAGGGGTTGCACATTGGTCAAGTAGTTTCAGGTAAGTTCCTTTGATGTACTAATTATAGCATATGAATATAAACACCGCACTTTTTCAAATTATTATAATGGACTTCCTGATGAGAACAAACATGAACATATGAGACAAAAGAGGCTTTCATTGTGATGTCATTTTACCGAGTGCATTATGTACAAAATAAAAAGTAATTATTGATACATGAGCAGTGGGAATATGCAGGGTACTTACTTTCTGTTCAAGCAGCCACAAATTATTTTTGGGATGTTGATCCGACTTACTTCGAATTTGGGAAACATCTTCACCTCGTGCTTTTCTCCCTACGAATATTTAATGTGTTATTCTGTCGATTACTTTGACATGTGGCCCAATTACCTGTATAGTTTTTGACTAGCGACTCTTTCCCGATCACCGGTTGTGAAACTTGAATTTTATTGCCAAACACATCTTCACCATCGAGACGTTTTTGCGCCCTGAAAATAAAATATTATAAATTTACCTTGAAAAAATGAAAATTACTTATTTCTATTGTAAGGCTTATTCCAAGGCATTTTGCTTTCAATTGTAATTCTATTACACAAAGACTGCACTGAATCAGATATCTGAAAGGTCAAAGAATGCACATTCAAGCATTGTGCAGATGGAGATAATACCCCCACAAGGACATTAAAGATAAACTGTGAAGGCAAGATTAAGATTTGGAAAATATCACTGATACAAACCTTTTAGCAAAATCAGACGAACTGAATCTTATTACAGCGTAGCCCAATTCTCTGTGAACGGCTAACACTCTACCCCCGCAATTATCCGACAATAACTTCAAACGAGATTTTAAACGCCCCATGTCATTGCAGATATTAAAAGGCAGATTGAAAACAAGCAAATCCACCTGCTGGTTCGCGACTGGCTACAAACATTCGCATAAAAAGATCACAAATTTTACCAGTTTTCGTGTACCTTCATTTTTAAGTTTGCGGGCACTTTTTCAATAATGGTCGTGAAATTAAAAGTTTCGTTAGCGCATAAAATCAGGGCGTCCGCGACGTTATTATTGTGTATTAGTATCACGTGCATTTTCTTGCGGTATCTCAGATCGGACAGATCGGCGGCGAAATTTACATCTCCAGATATTAGCGCTATAGCGCACGGTACCTTGTGCAATTCCGAAAATCTTCTTAACGACTGTCGAAGTTTTTCGTCCGCCGCATTTTTGCTCGTCGAGGAAACGTGAATGAGATTAACCTTGAAGTGTAGGAGTTACTTGATTGATTGTTCGACAGAATAATACCTGCGCATCGTTTAGGTCGGATACAACTTGGCTGCTCTCTTTTTTGACGTCACATACGACGAGGAATTCGGCTTCACGATAATCGTTATAGAAAAGTTCTCGAATTTGCTGTACCACGAGGGTAGCACTTTTTGTTTTCGGTACCTGACAATTTTCGATATCCCAAAACACTCCGATTGCCGGTAATGTTTTGACATTTTTCCGTTTACTCTTTCTCTTTGGTTTCTGTTGCAAGTCGCTTAGCGAACTGTCGGAGGCCGAATTATAAGTAAGTCGCGGAGAAAACGAAGCGGCGGTACTTAATTTCGGAGGAGGAGGAAAATTAACATAAGAACTAGATGTGGAGTCGATAGACTCTTCAGTCGAGGAAGTTTTTGTGTTACTTGGCAATGAAAACATTATAACTAGAAACGAATAATCTGCCAATTACTACGGCTACATTTAATTATAATTTATTAGTAAGAAATTATAACCCTTTTCCTGTATCTCCATTGTCCAACGTCCACCAAAACAATACAAACAAACATTTTTATCAAAGTAGCAGTGTCTACACTGCGCCGCTTGTAACTCCACTCTACTTACCCAATCTACCTCATAATACAGGGTGAGTCACGAGAACCATGCTTTATGATCTAATAGCGTTTTCGATTGTCAAAACTCGTACTGCACGAGTTTTGCACGAGAAACTGAAGAAATGCATGTGAAAATTGCTCTCAATGGAACATAAATATTCGTAAATATTTGTTGTCATTTGTCAATAACCTAATTTTAAATTTAGGTAATCGACAAATCTCTATTCTAAAAAATGACAAACGATTTCAGTCTTATTTATGATAAACGATGAGGAATATAAATTTGAAATTCCTGTAAAGGACCAATTTTTGGCGTTCAGTAAGTGCAACTTTTTGTAAAATAGAAGTTATGGCTAGTTCATCATCTTCGCTATCGCTAGATGACGGCAAAAAACTCTCCCAACGCAAGAAACAAATTCAAATTGTCGCAAGTGTTTTGAAAATTTGTTAACTAGCAGCTCCACGAGCTCTCGGACCTCGTGCGTCGAAATTTGCACTGAGTGCTTAATTGTGGCATCACATTTGCCAATGGAACACAGAAAATTGCCCTAAAATTACCAATAGAACGTAAAAATTGCACTCGTGCAGCACGAGTTTTGCCAATCGAAAACGCTATAAGCAAAAGCCTGAACTCTACTAGACTTACTCCCATAAACACGTGATTTCAGAAATCCCCACATAAAGAAAACGCACGTGAAGACGTCAAGTACAAGAAAAAAACAAAAGCTGCAGATGCGGTGCGGTAAAGTTAATGTATTGTAAAAGGAAAATTTAAACGCCATGAATGCAAAATAAATTTACGGAAACTGGTGAAAACGCAAAAGATCTAAATACCGTGCAGTAAAATTAATTTCAAACAAACCAACATTGAACGATACGGATGAAAAGTAAATTTACGGAATGCTATTATAGAATATTTCCCTCATATGTCATAAATGCCATATGAGGTGTGCAATTATCGCTCAATTACAGTCTTAAAAAATTAAAAATACGGGACGGTGTCAAAATTCATGTTTTTTAAGGGCGCATCTAATTAGTCAGAATGAAATCTGAATCCGAATGAAGTTCAGCAATGCCATTTTGGGTCAAACGGCGGGGTCTTGAGAACCTACAGCACAGCTTCAAATAAAAATAGAAAGCTCTGAAAGACGCTTGGCATGTTTTGAAGGAACACTGAACGCCCAGTAAAAAGTTTAAGATGCGCTGACTTGAGTTCATAAAGGACGTGAAATGCGATAGAGGAACTAATCCTTTGTCATTTGAACACAGACGTAACAATTCCCATCTCTTTCAGTAGGTAGTTCGTCATAAGCAAACAAAAGGTGTGAGCCTAACATAGCACTCACCGTGTATTTGGTTCACATACATCGTGTTTCGTGATGTGAGACACTGCGAAGGAAAAAATAATAAAAACCAGCTGTAGCTTTGTATATTTATTATTTTTAATTTATCTTTAACTTTAAAAGCGAAATGTGAATTGCGAATTTTCCTCGTCTTTCCTTCTTTTGGTTTATGAAATGTGTCAACGCAAAACAAAGTGAAATTATGATGCATCATTGTACTGGTTGGGTCATAAAAGTTCAATTTCTTTATACAGTTCAAGTGTAGTCTGCTGGTTTTATTTACATGGGAAATTCAAACTGTAAACCAAATGCTTTAAATGTGTATAAAAGTAATGAAAATATAGAAGTGACGAAAGCTACACAGAAGGTGCTCTTATTACATCATTGTTCGATTTGTACAAAACTTTTTTTAGCGTCAATTTTCGGTCACAGTCGACTCTGAGAACCAGCTGCCCAAATTACAACCAAGGTGAGAAGTGCTTAGGTTAGCTTATTTTTCTTTCTGTATTGCTTTAACTTTATTCTATTGTAGATATATCGCCGTGAAAAATGAACGAAGAAAAACAGTATGGCCCTTTACCCAATTGATACAAATATTTATGCCCGATTTCCGATACAATTCAAGTACCTTAGATAACAACTTCACAGTGTTTGGTGAGATCGGTTCTGGATCATTCGGACGAGTTTACAAGGTGCAGGAATTAAAAACAAATTCTATTTTTGCACTGAAAGTCTTGCCAAAGTCGCAGGTTTTATTTCTAAGAATTATACTTTGCCCTTACGTACTAATTTTGTTCCTTAAGGTTATACAAGACGAAGCGGTTCACCAGGTAAAAAACGAAGTACGCATTCAAAGTATTTGCGGTCATCACACCTTCATTATCAACTCGCCTTATCATTGGCAAAGTCGGTCCCATTTATATATAGGTGGGTACAAATTATTTTGTTCCTTATTTAATTAATGTAATCCCAAAATTTTCAGTAACTGACTTTGCAGAACGGGGAGAATTGTTCAAGTTGTTAGAAGCCTACTCAATTTTACCCACTCCTGTTACGAAACTGTACATAGCAGAAATTGCACTAGCATTAGGTAAGTAGAAGGTCATTTACACAAACAAAAGATAATATCAAAAAATTGGTCAAAACCGTTTCTAAGATAGAAAGGGGCAACTAAAATGACATAAGCAAAATCTCATCCTTATCAACCTCCTATGCTCCACCTACACGTGATAACTATCCAATGGTATAAATAATAATTGTAGAGGGTGTGTCAATAATTACCAAATTAATTATTAAACAATTTTAAAAACAAACATATGAGCAGTTTGTAGAGTTGCCCAAGCATGTGCTCTGCTGGTAAAAGTAAGTAAATGTTCATTAGTTTAAGTAAAGCAGTTTGTAATTCAAACTGGGGTGAAAGTGGAGGGTGTAACGTCTTTGGATGGGACTCCACATATAATTACCCAAGTCCTTAATGATATCTAAAGTAACCCCTGCTCCTTTTGCAGCTGATGTTCACGTGTCTACTTGAGTGGAGTAGAAGATGCTTGTATTGTTATCTGCAGAGGGTTAAGGTTGTTTTGAAGCGATCCTATGTGGTCTTTGGTAGGTTAAGAACAGATTTTCTGTACCTCCTCTTATTTACTCGGTCTCTGAAAGCAAGAGAAAAAAATTCAGAGATGGGGAAGGTAGATTCTGTCTGGAATTACAATTTGTATTCCATCTTCTGAGGTTACAATGTTTGGTATTTTTTCTTGCGGCTTTTATCACGTTGCTAGTGTGAGGAGGATTATTAACCTCACTTCAAACCGAGGATCAAGCCGGCCTGTGTCTTTTTCGAGTCAAGTCAGGTGCTCATTTCGGGCTGTCTAGCCTATCGGCTCACTTGATTCAGAATTTAAATTGTCTCTACTTATTTATTTTATATATTTATTTATTATCCCTCTCTTGTTCTGGACCCTTTTAATGGTGTAGTACAGTCTCGGCGGCCAATAGGATTATACGAGGTGCAGTCAAATGAAATGGCAACTTTTCAAATGCTTCTTCATAGGCCCAAAAAAATGGAAATTCAAAATTCAGCTGTCAGGAAACGCTCGTTTTTCATCCTTCGACCCCTCCATGCTGATACTTTCACTTTAAACAATAATGGCCACTGCGGAAAACAAATGCTAACCCTACACCTGACACAGTGTTGTGAGATATCTAGATAATCGTATCCAGTACTATGCTGCGTTCGCACTTCCAAATGCAGTATGGCTATGGGGTCTTATAAACTAAATGCCTCTCTTATTAATTTGCGTCTATCCTTGTTCCTCACCGCAATGATGTCAATTTGACATATGATTGAATTGAAAAACAACATAATCGCCTGCTGTCATTGTCACATTTGTTAATAAGTTTGGCAAGCATGTATGTACTGTATGTCCATAAGCACCATACTGCTTCTGAAGGTGCAAACGTGCTATTTAGTTACATATCTAGATACTTTTGAAACAATGTAACGTAGATACCGATAAAATATCGGCGTATCAACCGTTTTCAAAAAATTATATTTTAAAGATTTCAATTTCGTTTAAGTTGCGAAAAATTGTGACACACCGTCTAACATTGTCAATGTTTATTATTTCACGACTTTGGCGGCGTCTTATTACGGCCAAAAATTTTTAATTAACACAAGTTAGGAGTCTTAATTTCTCATAGTGCGCTTTGTTTGCTTTCCTAAGTTAAAAATTACATTTGTCCCTCATATGGGACATGTGGGAGGAAATTGTATTGGTGGATTCATCATAGTTTGGGATGTAGAGTATTCCAAATATTGTATTTGTCGTGCCAAAAAAAATTTTTAATTTTTGGGCCACCATGGGGATCTCGGGAACTGTAAGAGATAGATAGGTAGTTTAAGTTTGACAAAGTTGCGTATTTTGATGCTTAACAAAATGCAGTTTTTAAACTTAAAAAATTCCGACTACTTTCGGAGATATCCGGGAAACACCGAAATTTTGCAAAATCGTTTTTATTTTTTACTGAAGTTATTTAAAAAGATATTTCGAAACAAATAACACATTATTATGGGCACTTTTTTCTCTCCACAAGATGCTAGTTTCAAATTTTAAATCCGACGTTTCGTCTCCGGTTGAGCATCACCAACTTTGTTTTTTCTTATGGAAGTAATTTTTTACTTTTTGGGTCATTTAATAGAGAATTCAAAAGAGAGTTCAAAAATATTATAATATAATTAAGAATATTTCTGAAAGGAAACGTAAGCTGCGTTTTTTTGGTGGTTTTTTGTAGTTCTCTAAAAGGAGAGCGACGTCGATATACTCTCCCTTCCATAAAATATGCGACCAGTGGGCGCCCAAAATCGAATCTCGAAAAAAGGACGAATTAATTTCATGTGTGGATCATCCCCTAGAATGCCTAATATCCCTTCCTGATGTAATATACCCCTTGCGCTGTGGATCCAGTAGAGCATGCACTTGTGAATTTGGGCACCAAAAGGGTGGACTATGTTGATAAATAAACAACATTTTTGGACCGGGTGCCGAAATATAATCCTTATTCGTGCACCAATTTTGACAGGAAAATGCCTTAATGCTTTGTAAATTTATTTGAATTGACTTATCCCATAGTAGTTATGAGCTCAGAGGATTAATAAAGTATTATTATTATTATGGTCGGTGTTTCTTGTGAGAACTCAGCTCTAGCCGCCTGGTTAACTAATCACACAGATTAAAATCAAGTAACGATTAGTGTTTATATATAATAATAATAATAATCATAAAAAACACATTAAGGAAATATAGGAATAGTATGTAATTCATACTTACCAAAATTGGTGGCCACAACAGCCCAACAAAAAAAAAAAAAATTAACAAAAAAATTTGAAAATGCTCGATCAAGAGAAAATTGTCAATTTCCGAATGACCCTGTAATTTCTTCATTAAATGAGATACAGAAATTTTTTTATTACAAAAGTTTCTTTATAATGATCGCCAAATAATCTTCCGTTTTCAAAATAAGTGTAATGGAGTCAGGTAAAAAAGTTTTGGATCTAACCTCATTTTTTTTTATTGGAACTAAGGTGCTTTTAAACAGCCATTACATTTGGCGATCCGAAAAAACTTCTTTGTTTATCAAAATGAGTTTCAAGCTCAACTTATTTAATCCCTTTTTCATTAATTTGGAAAGCGGCTCTCCAACTCGAAAATGTTCCTTTGGGTAAATTTTATCACTTTTACACAAAAAAATCCATGTAAAATCCGAAATTGTTACAGATTTTCTTCACAATGCCGGCATAATTCATCGCGATTTGAAGCCCGAAAATATTCTTCTAGACAGTGAAGGACATATTCAAATAACCGATTTCGGACTAGCCAAATGGGTAGCTTACGGTTGTACGACTAGAAGAGTATGTGGCACATTTGAATATATGGGTATGATGCTATAACAACCTACTAACAATATCAACGTCACGTGACTCTCTAAAGTGGTACTGCGTATAAGTAAATGAAAGACGTACACACTCAGGTTTTAAACTGTGATTTTTTTCTATTGTACCTTTTCCTCGTAACCGTCGGAGTTACGTGTGTTTTAAAACTGTGTTGTGAAAATAGTTAACCTTGTATATCGGACAATATGAATGCAAGGTCTGAGATTTTCGAACTTACCATGGAAGGAAGGCAGGTCGACGAAGCTGTAGCGAGTTTATTTCACACGATATTGTTTCACAGATCGGTGGGAAAGTTTGTATATCATGGTAGCAGTTATTCTGTCGGTACCATCGGTTACACAGACATCGATTGTGATTTTATCGATTTGACTTACGTGTGCTGTACGTCTAGTAGTTTAGACAGGACGCTTAAAAGAGAGATCTCAAACTTTTCAGAGTTGCTTCGCGGTAGTGACGGTACAGGCATAGGTCAAATTAGTTTGGAATTTTTTCAAAAGAAGCCGAGTCGTTGGATGCTACCTCCCGAGTGTTCGCCGTGGGAAGTTTGGACGATTAGACTTGAATTAATTAGTTTAACCAATGAAGATGAAAGACAAGTGTGTAGGGAGAAAGTGGGTGAAATTTTGACAGATAAAATACTGTATATCACCGAGGTAATGAATAGAGAAGAATATATACCAAAAGTGCCAGATCAGGCCGACTTAAATCAAATATTCGATACATCCTATCACGACATACAACCGTATTTATTCAAGCTTCGCTATTCTTTATCCGGTCCGTCCTCGGAAACATCAGTAGGTTCCGCTATGAAAAAGTTGATTAAAGAGACTTTATCGCTGTAAAGCAACATTCCTTCGGCCAGTGTTTTTATTGCAATAAGAAATATTGTCGTAGCAATTTGTGTATTTTTTCATTGCATGTATGTAAATAATCGTTAAAAATACTTGAAAGTTTATTGTGTTGTATAAGATGTTAATCACATTTAGCTTGACAAATAAAATTTGAGATATCTATTTAAATAATAATTATCGCATAATGTGTTATCATTATAAATGTAAACCAAGTACTTTCACTCTGAATATAATCGGTACTAATATAATTTACTGCACTATGATAGTTTGCTCTACTTATAACATAACAGCAGTTCTCAGAGTGAGTGTATTGAGTGACTCTTTACTCATCATGACACGTTAAACAATTTGAGGCAGAGTGCCTTTAATGTGTCATGCTGTTTTTTATTTTGTATATAACAATGAACACAATTTTACATCACAGTGTGAAACCTGAGTTTCAATTCTTTTATTACGCTTACGGTGACAAGTGAAGAAAATAAAATTTTTACTAACATCCTTTAGTCTTTTCAGTTATGTATTAGAGGCAGTTGGTATTTCCTAATAAAAGAGGCCAACTTTGCATCAAACACATGAATTATTTTTCCTTTATTGGAAATGTCCACTGCCTTTTCATGTAAATTATGTAAACAACACACATAGTCAGAACCAGACCAGATAGTTATAAACAAAGTAACACATATTTTTAAGAAATTCCTCGAGCTTGATACTTGATATCGCAGTGTGGTAGCTCTAGTTTGTAAATATAATAATATGAATAAAAGTGATTTGATTACTTAACGCAATTAAGCAAATTTAATTTATTTTATAAACAATGAAAATCGGGAATGTTTGATTAAAGTATGATTTAATACGATTTGTTCGTTGTTTTATTTATAACTGTCTTTCGTCTGCAAGAACTCTCAGGTAAGTTGCGTGTTTTATTTACAGCTCCAGAGATGTTGGATTTGGAATCGTACGGGCATTCGGTTGATTGGTGGAGTTTAGGTGTCGTAGCATGCGTAATGTTAACTTCTAAGGTAAGTTTCATATGGGTTTTGTACGTCTAATCGATTATATTGCTGTACTTTTCAGTAGTTTTTATCAGTGTATCATACTTCCCTTTAGATTCATAATATGTTCAATTTCCCTTTCTGTAAAAGTGAGTTTTCTTAAGGAATTTTGAAACCGACCAAGGCTATATACTTTTTTCTGCACTTAAAAGGAAAAATATTTGTAGCACCATAAACATTACGACCCTCAAATAATAGACTGATTGTTACATTATATAAAAGCAAGTGTAATTTTTGAAACCATCAAAAATACTTCTATATGCATTTAAAGGGAGGGGGGGATTGTAGTACCTATATGCGTTCCTGATACCTCTCGTTTCCGTTAAGTTTTTTTTTACAATCCTGCGCTCCTGCTACATTTCGTTTTTAAATAGCCTTCATAAGTTTGATAACTACATGCAGCATAGCGATTTGGATCATTTACGACGTCTTGCGCTTCTGATAAAATTTATCCGGTATTTATTTAATTCTATTTGTTGTATTTAGTTTGTATCAAAAATTTCAAACGAGTAACTAAGGGAAAAGAGATTGTTAGGTGAGTTTAAAGTTTTATCTGGTCAGGTGTTGATAAAAAATTGTTATCGGACAATAATTAATTGCATTTTCGACAAACAACGTCACGCGCGAGATAAGCGGCGCAAGTGTTTTACCGGTTCTGGGGACGGAGAAGAATTTCGAGTGGTCCTGCCCAATTTATTGGATTATTATCATTAACAGAAGTGTAAGTAATTTTTGAAATTTCTTTAATTCTTGTGATTAGTTCATGTGTCAATTTAAATCCAAATAGTTTTATTTTTCTGTCAGATTTTTGTAATTTCTTTTTATCCGAATGTTATTCCAAATTTGAGCAGTGATTTCATTGGAATTTGATTGAGACCTTCGAGGGTTTCAAGTTTATAAAAGTTTTAAGTCAATGTTAGGATTTTCTTGTTGTGTCGAAACCCAGTTGTGCCCTGATGAAGAATTAAAAAAAAACTAAAGTGTAATTTGAGCTAGCTAGGCAAGTGTTGGGTGACCGCATACCATTTGCACACAGCATTTGGCGCCCAACGTGGGGCAGTATGTTGTTAGTATTTAGTACTTATGGCCATCCACATTTGGCAAGTTATTTTGTTTATTCAGTTACATTTTATTCCACGTGGCGTTTTTTCGCGCCTCCTTCAACCCAACATAATTTTCCTTAAACCGATGATTTCACACGTAAGGAATGGATACGCGGTCCCATTATGCACGTCCAAAATACACCGTGATCTGACAATCCTATATTATGAGGCATTCTTGAGGTCCGCATTCAATATTTATTAGTAAGATTTCGGGACGCACATACTGAAGAGGCTGAGAGGGCCGAATGTCCCAACTATTGAGGCGCGCAAGTCCCTAATGCAGACGGTAATGATTCAATAGAGTAAGAAGAGGAAAGAAGTAAAAGCAAAAGGATAGTGGAGACTGAGCGAAAGGAGAGAGAGGGCGAAACTGAAAAAAGGGGGAGAGAGCGAATTGATGGGAGGGGAAGCGGAAAACATAGAAAAATTAGAAGGGCGGCTAATGAGACAAAAGAGCAAATGGGAAAAATGAAGAAGAAGATAGAAGAATTAAGAGAGGAAATCAAGAAAAGGGAAGAACAATGGGATAAGAAACAAGAAGAACTGACGGAAAGGATGACAAAACTAGATGAAAGGAACAGCATAACTATAAGAGGAGCAAACATGAAAAAAGCTAAAGGTAGAGAGAAATGTAAAAGAGGCGAGAACAATTGAAGTCACGCGGGAAAAGAAGAGCGACATTATGAGTGGAAGGGGAAGTTAAAGGGAAGCACGATATACATAGATAACGAGTTGATTTATAAGAAAAGGGTACAACGAGAAATTAGAGAGGTGGCGAAGAGAAAAAGCGAAAGGACAAGAAAGTAAGACGGGATAGACGGCTAATGGTGGAGAATGCAGATGGTGTTACAAAGAAAAAGGACTACTGAAGAGGAAAACGCGGGGAGAGTGGGGGAAACAGAAACGACCTACAAAATAAACCAAATAAAAATTGAGATGATTATTGTAAAGATGATGTTCTGAAGTCTGTCGGGGGTAATAAGTAAAGACGTATAATTCTGGAAGTATATCAGAGGATACGATGTTGTGGGGATTGTGGAATCATGGAAAAGAAAAAAATAACTGGGAGAAAATAAAGAATACAATACATGTAGAAGAATCAATTCGCGTAGAGGGAGAACATAAAGGGAATAGCAAAAGGAGGCATATTAACAGGAGTAACAAAGTCGATAAGGGAATGGGGAGAGGAAGCGAAACATCAAGAAGGCATACAGGTAATACGAGTGGAAGTGGAAACGACGAGAATGTCGGGCATCAAAAAAAGGTCTTCCTTTTTTACCAAAAATCGACTGCACCAAAATTTCTCGGGGAAACACTTTTTCCTATTAATTTTGGTGCGTAGAATCCAAAACAATTCGTACTTTTTCGATCAGACTTCTCAATCAAAAGTTATAGACTAGAAACCAATTTCGCAAAAAAATTCAAAGGGCTGTAACTTTTGAACTAGTAGCCCAATCTTGGAACTGTTTGAAATTATGGATTCTACATGCCACATTCTATAAGAAAATTCTGTTTCCGGGTCGATCTGAGACAATTTTTTTTTCGGACCTCAAAAAAGGCAGTGTATAACCTTCCTTTTTAACAAATATCGACTGCACCAAAATTTCTCGGAAAAACACTTTTTCCTATTAATTTTGGTGCGTAGAATCCAAAACAATTCGTACTTTTTCGATCAGACTTCTCAATCAAAAGTTATAGACTAGAAACCAATTTCGCAAAAAAATTCAAAGGGCTGTAACTTTTGAACTAGTAGCCCAATCTTGGAACTGTTTGAAATTATGGATTCTACAGGCCACATTCTATAAGAAAATTTTCCGGGTCGATCTGAGACAATTTTTTTTTCGGGGCTCAAAAAAAGGCAGTGTATATATAACCTTCCTTTTTTGCCAAAAATCGACTGCACCAAAATTTCTCGGGAAAACACTTTTCCTTATTAATTTTGGTGCGTAGAATCCAAAACAATTCGTACTTTTTCGATCAGACTTCTCAATCAAAAGTTATAGACTAGAAACCAATTTTGAAAAAAAATTCAAAGGGCTGTAACTTTTGAACTAGTAGCCCAATCTTGGAACTGTTTGAAATTATGGATTCTACAGGCCACATTCTATAAGAAAATTTTTTTTCGGGTCGATCTGAGACAATTTTTTTTTCGGGGCTCAAAAAAAGGCAGTGTATAACCTTCCTTTTTTACCAAAAATCGACTACACCAAAATTTCTCGGGAAAACACTTTTTCTTATTAATTTGGTGCGTAGAATCCAAATCAATTCGTACTTTTTCGATCAGACTTCTCAATCAAAAGTTATAGACTAGAAACCAATTTCGAAAAAAAATTCAAAGGGCTGTAACTTTTGAACTAGTAGCCCAATCTTGGAACTGTTTGAAATTATGGATTCTACAGGCCACATTCTATAAGAAAATTTTTTTTCCGGGTCGATCTGAGACAATTTTTTTTGCGGGCCTCAAAAAAGGCAGTGTATAACCTTCCTTTTTAACAAAAATCGACTGCACCAAAATTTCTCGGGAAAACACTTGTTCCTATTAATTTTGGTGCGTAGAATCCAAAACAATTCGTACTTTTTCGATCAGACTTCTCAATCAAAAGTTATAGACTAGAAACCAATTTCGAAAAAAATTCAAAGGGCTGTAACTTTTGAACTAGTAGCCCAATCTTGGAACTGTTTGAAATTATGGATTCTACATGCCACATTCTATAAGAAAATTCATTTTCCGGGTCGATCTGAGACAATTTTTAGGCATAGTATGCACCTTCCTTTTTTACCAAAAATCGACTGCACCAAAATTTCTCGGGAAAACACTTTTTCCTATTAATTTTGGTGCGTAGAATCCAAAACAATTCGTACTTTTTCGATCAGACTTCTCAATCAAAAGTTATAGACTAAGAAACCAATTTCGAAAGAAAATTCAAAGGGCTGTAACTTTTGGACTAGTAGCCCAATCTGGGAACTGTTTGAAATTATGGATTCTACAGGCCACATTCTATAAGAAAATTTTTTCCGGGTCGATCTGAGACAATTTTTTTTTCGGGGCTCAAAAAAAGGCAGTGTATACCTTCCTTTTTTACCAAAAATCGACTACACCAAAATTTCTCGGGAAAACACTTTTTCTTATTAATTTTGGTGCGTAGAATCCAAAACAATTCGTACTTTTTCGATCAGACTTCTCAATCAAAAGTTATAGACTAGAAACCAATTTCGAAAGAAAATTCAAAGGGCTGTAACTTTTGAACTAGTAGCCCAATCTTGGAACTGTTTGAAATTATGGATTCTACAGGCCACATTCTATAAGAAAATTTTTTTCCGGGTCGATCTGAGACAATTTTTTTTTCGGGGCTCAAAAAAAGGCAGTGTACAACCTTCCTTTTTTACCAAAAATCGACTGCACCAAAATTTCTCCGGAAAACACTTTTTCTTATTACTTTTGGTCCGTAGAATCCAAAACAAATTGTACTTTTTCGATCGGACGTCTCATTGTCTCAATCAAAAGTTTTAATTATCAGCTGCAATTTAAAAAAAAACTGTATTGTAATTGATTTCCGAAAAAGGAGTAATACCCAGTCCGCCCCTGCTTTTAAAAGTCGGTATACTCTCTACGCCTTGGTATGGGATCTCGACTCGAAGTTTGAGGGTTTAAAAAAGTTATAGTTTTTAACGTTCCGATTTTGTCGTATGAGTTTTTCTCTTTCAAATGACGATTTTGATACTAATTCAACGTGATTTAATTAGCATGAAAATAGTTGTCGCGTTATTGCGACCACATTTCTTGGCCGTTTTCAAATTTCCGCCCCATTTTCGCGCGGCAAACGACGTAGGTATTATCCGCAGGAATGTGTAGAATTATTTCGGGTTTGCATATAAGCGTAAACCGTGCATAAATTTATAATCGGATTG